CATATAAGAACACTGAAGTTAAGTGCGGGGCAACGTTTAACGGCTGCCACACAGCACTTGACACCTGCTGCTGTGAAGTATGCGGTAACTTGCTCTGAAATACTATGTTTGAATAACATTTTACATGCTTATACTGATGATACTGATGTATGCATTGTGTATTAGGTATATAAATGTGCTTTCTATAGCTTTTGTGTTTATTTATGTTCTTTTTTTATTCTTTACCGTTTCATGATATTTAGTTCACCGTATATAATAAAGCTAGTTTCACTGGAGAATGATAGAACACTTGTTTTTTTCTTTACAGCAAATTAACTTACAAAGTAACCTGCGCTAAATATAGTATTATGTATAAACACACGATTACAGCATATAACTATTAAAGTTCTTTGAAAAAATGATTATTTCCTGTATTTCTACATATGGTGTAAAAACATTAAAAGAAGTCAAATAAATTAGAGATAATAATGTAAAAAGAAAATGAAACTGATTTATTGATTAAGGAATGACTCAGTAGTTCCGACTGACAATACAGATTTACTTAACATGTTTAAGTATTTCTAAACATATTCATATTAAAATATTTTCCGTTTCCACATAAATGAGCAGCTCAAAATCTTGCAAATAAAATATTTAATTCAGACTCGAAAGTGAATTATTCAAATAATTTTCAAAAAAAAAATCATTTCGCTACAGTTACAATAGAAAAACTTAAAACTCTTTGTTGAGAAGTGTAGTAATTGGTCCTTTTAAAATACTAGTATGAACAAAGTACCGTCTTAATGTAACAAATTGGCGACCTAAACTTCATTACTTCATAATTTTAACTCTTTAATAAATTCAGCTTCATGAATACTTGAATTCAATTTGTGTAATAGATTTTTCAAATGGCTACGATACTAAATTATACTAAGATAATAATTTCATGGCGTTAAGATTCTTAATTTATTTACTTAAAAGTTAATATTTGTAAAAAAAGCTCAAAACTTGTAAATGTATTCGATCGAACGTATAAATCCTTTTAAATGATTATAAATCTAAAAAATATCGCTCAGCACTTAGTAGCGCCATATAGAAAGTCACTGATGCATACTGTATCCAATTCAAAATTTTATATTCAATGCACAATAATGTAAAGAGGAAGATTTGAACAAGTTTTATTTTGCAATGATTAAACAGATAGGTATGATTTACCATTATTGTTGTTTAAATAATGTATAGTGATATTTAAAAAAAGATACTTTTTATAACATACAGGAAAACAACGGATAGGATATCAGTATTGTAAGACCATTTTGACTCTTTATCATTTAAAAAGAAAATTAATTTTAAAGTCTCAATACTTTTGTTTCAGCTTTAAAGTACCTTTATTCTTTATGTCAGACATTCAACATGTCTAAAGCTGTTTTATAATAATATACTTTAAGTGTTATTTTGATTTTAAAGTCAAAGACATAATCAAAGAAGAAATTGATAAAAACAGGACTGTGTAATTATACATCAATCTTTATATTGGAAAGCATTTCCAATACGTTTGATCACACCATTATCAATATGTATACATTTTTTTCTTTAGATTATATTGCATACATTGATACGGAACATGTTTTGTAAGGACATTTTGGCATTGGCATTAGTATTGTTTGTTGATATGGTATATTCCGGTAAGTAGTCTGTTTCATCGAATTTCAACAATGGAATACTTTTTCTTTATTGTCTTAGATGTATCATTAAATATTGAAAAAAAATATCTATTGGCCTAATATCAATCATATTCCAGTTGAAGAGAAAGATTAATTTCAAGTTTTTTTTTATTTTCACGTCTATTAAACTGGGTAATGATATTATTGGTTCACTATATTGCATATATAGTAATAAATATACTCGTAACTGAGAATATTTAAATAGTCATGTTTTTTATTTATTTTACAGAATGTTCAATTGGCTGTCAATCATGCTCTGGTTCAACTTGCATAACTTGTGAATCATCTTACTTTTTACACAATGACTTTTGTTCACCATGCTTCGAAAATTGTGAAAGTTGTAGAAATTACGATGACTGTAATTTATGTAAGCCAAATAAATATGGTTTACATGCAAGATGTACTTTCAGCTGTGATGGTAATTGTTTAAACAGTGAATGTCAAGATGATACAGGATATTGTTTTCAATGTAAGCCTGGTTTCTACGGATATAAATGTCAACACAACTGTAGTATTTGTGAAGATGAACAGTGTAATTTGCGTACCTGCTGGAGTGGTTGTAAAGTTGGATATTATGAGTTTAAACCGGGTGTCGAAACAGTATGTCAGACCTGTCCGTCTAATTGTAAACAATGTACGGATGGTAAAACATGTAATATTTGTAATAATGGTTATCATCTCTATAAAGTTAATGACAATGTCTACTGTGTGTCATGTTTCCAAGAAACGCAATGTCCGGACTGTATTATTCAAGGTTGTAACCAGTGTCAAATACACAATAATTCGTTAGTCTGCGCTGATTGTCCAGAAGGACAAATATTCAATGGTAAAACATGCGGATCACACACATCAGCGTGCTCGAAAAAATGTTCTACGGATTGTGATAGTACTGGAATATGCCGAGGAGAATGTATTGAGGGCTGGACTGGTGAAAAATGTTCCGAAATATGTAACAACAAATGTTTTAAGTGTTCAAAAGATAACGCAAATAATTGTCTACTGTGTAAAGGTAATTTTTACTCAACCGATTGCAGTTTAGCCTGCAACCCGGCATGCATAGTAATGAGTGGTCGTCATACTTGTGAACATACCGACGGATATTGTCTAAACGGATGTTACCAAACATTTTGGGGCGACACCTGTGATAAATCTTGTCCTGGTGGATGTAAAGATCTTAAATGTGATAAAAATAACGGTGCATGTACAGATGGATGTAAGGATGGACTGACCGGAGATAAATGTACTCAAACTACCACTATTGGTAAACAATGTACATAATAGATATGATTACTGCTAGGAATTGATTTCAAAATAATTAATTCATAAGTATCTCCTATTCTTCAAATCAAATTCATAATTACCATAAATATCGATTATTCATAATTATTTATCATATGTTGGAATATAAGGGGTATTGAAATACATTTTTTGCCTCGTTTAGACATGTTAGAATTACTTTGAACGTCGGTAACTATACCGTGCACACTACAGTTTATACGTTTTCACGTTTTAACTCGTGTAATGTATCAAGAAGATATAATGCCGAATAATACTCATCTCACTGAATAATTTTCATAGAATATTTTACGGTGGCATTTACGAGATATTGATCCGAAAGACTGTTTTAGTCATTTTAGTTGATCAGCCCCGGAATCGAACCCTCAATGTTGAGATTACAAATTTTGCGCTCTATCTGACTGAGCTGTGCAAGCTGGCTTGACATAGATTACTCTTTGTGCACTTTATGGCGAACAAATTGTTACAGTAATCATTAGCATATAGTGAGGGTAATATTTATTACACATTAATGTTATATCTACAGAAACATCAATAACAACAACGACATCAACAACAACAGCATCAGACGAACCTTTATTACAACAACAAACATGTGCACGGTGTGACGATAAAGCTAATATTTTTACCATTGGTTATGTCTCTGGATTCGGATCTTGTGCTGGAATAGTAGTATTTGCTGTATTGCTTTACCTTATTAGACGAAGGTGAATGTTTTCGCTAATTTAACTATTTATTTCATGCTTTCCAGTGTTTTATTGTAATATATCAGATGATTATATTCTGATAAACCACTAGTGAAATTTATAAAATATAATTTTCACTGTAGCCGGACTATATCTGAATGCGGATGAAAAGAAAATCATAACTAAATGGAATAACAGGCAGAAATAAATGCCGTCATACGTCAATTTTGCTTCTTTAGGAAAAGAAAGTCAATGTCATCATACATCATGTTAAAAATTTAACAAAATTAGAGAAATTTAACAGAACTATATTTCAAAACTGATGATGTGACGTCATGATATAATGACGTCACAAAGGAGAATGCGCGACGTTACGCGGAAAAATCTGTAAAAATTACTTAAAATCAGTTAAAAGCATAAAATAAAAAGAAAATTTATTTGTTTTACATATAAGATTGAAATATATTTCATTCGTGAACACCAGCTATTATATTTTTACTCGTGGGTACGCCACTCGTGAAAATATTGCATCTGGTGTTCACTCAGTGAAATTACATTTCAATCTTACATGCAAAACAAACAAATATCCTCTATACAAGATGTTTGTTCTTAAAGTAAAACAAATTATCTTAACATAGATAAATAGTAATAATGATAATGATGATGATAATAATCGATTAATCATGGTGTTGTTGTCTCCTTTTATTTATTAACTTATTGACATGTTTGATCTTTCAAGTTTATTTTGCCGGTTGTTACTTGTTTTTTGTACCTCTTACTAAAAAAATGTATAAAACAATTATAAATTATACACTTTATCACAGGTATATTGCAAGAAAAACGCCCAAACACAACAGACCAAACATTGATAATCCAACATATTATAACACTAGAACTGATTTCGGCGCTGTAAATGCTGAGTCGGCTGATGTGACTAATAATTACGAGAGTTTGAGTAATAACACGATCACGGATAATGTATACAATGGTAATTATTATGTTTTCTAATTCATAAATCTAAGATTATGATTAGTTTAAGTACTTGATTTCATTATTGTCTATATTATTTATTTATTTATTTACTTATTTATTTATTTGTTTATTTTCAGATCTAGGAACAACATTATCATAGATGTAAGAGAAATCAGTTATATTGATTTACTAGTGAAAACAACAAAATGAAGATTTAGACTATATGTGTTGTTTCTCTTATTCGATACAAATTGTATGGTGGCAATAAAAGCTTAGATTCGTTATCCCAAATATGCACGTAACAGTATTGTCCCTTTGAGCGTTAACACTATAAACCGCATATTCACATGTTTCGGAATGCTTCATCATTGGTGTTAATTGAAGTATATTGTTTAAATTTAAACAGTTGGGTAAACGCCTTCAAGCTAACATTTCGGAATTAACAATTCGAAAGTGTCAATTGCCTATGTCTGTGCACTATTAAAATCAGCAACTATAAAATATAATGATTTCCCTTCTTTTATGATTAATCAAGATACAATAAATGCTGTTCAAACCTGTGAGCATAAAGGATAAGAAATGAGCAGCTTTTTCAAGTATGAATACTGCCTTGAATGTTGAACCATGGTTCTGAAGGGGTTGACATACAATTTAGCAATTTAGAAATTTGAAATCAGTCTTCTTCCAAAGCTCATATAAATTTGTGTTTCAAAGGAAATGTCCTTAATTATGACTCCTTTGTTATGACCCCTTTAATTTTTGAATAGCAATGCACATGGAAAAATAACATTTTTTTATTGAATTATGCGCAATTAATTGTTCCGAACTTTTCTTAGGAAGACGGTTTTAACCAAAGTCTAAAGAATCTGACTTAAAATATTGAAGCTGTCATTTGTTTAATATTGTAAATGTTGTCTTACATCTTTGGACTTTAAATACACTTAGATCTACTTTCTATAAAACGCAAACTTATCTTGAATTATCGTATGCAATTCTCTGATTGCCATTTTATTCCGTGGAGTGCAAGCGAACGTCCTTTAGATTCAGTCAAACACAATAGGTTCAGTTTCTAAAATGATTTTTACGCATTATTCAATTTATGAGAGAAAAAAATAAAGTCAACTGCAAATTGTTTTTCTTTCTGTCACGAAATGCAGTTACATATAGAATAAACAGATATTGAGATTATAGAAAAAAATAAGGTATATAATTATTCAATAGAGAAAAAACACACTTTCTTTGGACCAGGTATCAAATACAAAGTTCCTTTCTTTTTAATTTTTAAGAAAAACATCATAGTTATTAGTTATGGCACTTTCACTAATTAAGGTTACATTAATTAGTTACTTTTCTTTTAATACGAAAAACTACCGGATTATACTTAAATACATGCATTTAGTCCCGCGTGTTCTGTTTTAAAATGCTTTATCGTGCTTCGGCAATGTTTATTACCTTTTATATAAATATTTGCAAATTTTATTTTCATATCATGGAAATGTCATTAAAATAGGGCTAAACCTGGGGTTACTGATGCATATTATATATTCAAATCTTTACATAACTTTGGAAAACGGATTATTTACCATAATAAGGTAGTCTTCTCTACTTCCTTCTAGCGATGTTGTAAGTACAGATATCATTTTGGTTAATACATATGTATAGGCATATATTATTATAGCATGGAAACTACGGCTCTCGTGTGTTTCAAACTTATTTACCTTATATTTCTTTAAATACGTTGTTTCCGAATATTTCAGTCATGCATTTGCAAAAGGCATAAATTAAATGTCCAACAAACGTACCCATGTTGTCATAAAGTTTAATTATATGTTTAGTTTACAACACAAAAATAAATGAATTTTAATATTTACTGTAGTATGTTAAAGGTTATAAATACCAGCAAAATGTTGAATTGTTCCATCTAATATTAAATCCCATTACATTACTTGTTTCAAATATAAAATATACATTTTTACTATTTTGGCATTTTTTTCACACAGCTACTAAGATATTGTACACATGTGTCAATATTCCAGACTATAGTCAAATCAGAGCAATAATCAAACGGGCAATGTCATTCAAATAGAAAATTTTAATTTATTTATTTATTGAATCATAGTATGCGTGACACATACTATGGTTATAAATCAACAACAATTTATCTTTTATTTCTAAGTTTAATATAAAATTCATATATTCAAATACAATAGCCTATCATTGTTTTGATATTTTACATCATTTGTTTCTTTTTTTTTTAATTTGAATAATTTTAGATAATAATATGCATATCCACCAGTCAAACTGTATCATTTTTATACTAGCAGTGTTTGCTAATAAAGTATGTGCTCGTAAGTACTACAAAATAATCCATGATCTGTTTAAGTAACAATTGAGTGATAAGTTTGGACGAGTCTTATATATTAGATGTTTTATATTAAATCTCGTTGTGTTAAGTTTCGGCTGCACGAACATTTTTCTTTTGGTCGTATTTATATATTTACTTTAAGAAAATAACAGCTAAAACAGCTATAAAAGTATATTTCAAAACATATCCCTTCCATGTATTTTAATTAACGTTTGTGTATTTATAGTGTTACGAATATTCTATTGACTGCCAATTATGATCACATGTTCGACATGTTTGAGTTATGGTCATCTTATTTTTATCAAATGGTGTTCTGTGGATTGTGAACAGTGCACATGGTACTTCAAGTTAACCAATATTATATGGTATTCATGCAATTTAAAATTTTTACCTGTGAAGGTAATTGTCTGAATAATAAATGCATAGATGATCTGGTATATTGTAATCAATGCAAGCCTGGTTTCGAAAGGTTGATGTGTCAAACATGTACATTAAGTTTATAATACATGGATTTCAAGAGGTACGTAAATGCTCGCAAGATTGTAGATCTGGAATATTACCGGTATCAGTATAAAATCGGTTAAAAACAATATGTCAAACTTTTTCGACATATTGTAAATATTGTAAGGATAGCACAACATGCTAATGACTCAATGATGGCTTTCGTCGCTATGAATTTGATAACAATGCTCTTCACTCTGTTATGCTTTAAGGAACTCAATGTTCGGACTATTGTATTATTCAATGTTTTGACCAATGTCAGGTATAAAATACAAGTAAATGTAATACGTTGGTCTGTACTTGTTGTCCAGCGAGACAGGATGTAATGGTAAAATGTATGAATGTGAAAAAGTATAACACAATATAAAAAGAAAGAATGTCCCCATAAAACGTCCAAAACAAATTGAAAATGTCTGCAAACTCAGTTTGATCGAGCTTGTTGTTGGACGGTATTAGGAAGTGCGGGTTACTGGCTAAGCCCTAAGCATCGGCTTTAGAAAACAAGGTTTCAAATGCTCAGGAGGAAATAGTAATATTTTTCTACATTACAATTGTAAATTTATCTTAACAATATCCAGTTTAGTTTACCATCCATAATGTAAGGCAATGGTGGTAAAAGAACATGTGACCATGCATACACATAGTGTTTAAATGGGTGTTTTCAAAGTTCCAGGAATGAAACCTGAAATAAGTCCTATCCTGAGTGATGTGAAGATCATGAATATGACAGCAAACACGTTATATCTTATGCAGATTGTAAAGACGGACACCCCGGAGACATACCTTTCAAATTATTACTAGAGTTAGAATAAAATTATATCTAGAAATTGATATATTTTATGGAAATAATGTTAGTTGTATAAAAACATTTGATACATAACCTTCTTATTAAAAACATACATACATTTGAATATGAAACATGGTCAACATTAAGAAAAACACATTTGAACCAAATACATATATCATGTTTCATGCTTTATCCCTTCAACATTTACATTTCAGCCGGCAGTTATTATTTGTTTATATTGTAGTACACATGTATTGGCATTCAATAAAAGATGGAATTAAATTTACAAAAAAAAAAAGAATCTTATAGCGAGGCAATTTTAACGTGCCAACGTATTTAGCCATGGTGGCCGCTTTAAAATAGCTGCGAATAACCGTAGACTAATGAATTAAGGACCCCATGACGTCGCAGTTTAAACATATTGGTTTAAACATATTTATTTTAGCTCGATTACAAAACAAGTTGTCCAAACTTATATCAATTAATTTTAAAATATTGAATACACAAACTAATGATTTTAACTTCGTGAATTTACGTTTCCAGCGTCATTACTTCACGATTTAAACAACACAAAAAACGTGATAGCAACTGTATTTATTTAACATCACGAATTTGAATTTCATGAATTAACTATTTCATCTTTACAAGACCTTGAATTGAATTTGTTATGTTGAAGCATGTGAATTTGTGTATGATTGAATTTTTAATCGTTCAATTATAGAGTTGAAATTGTGATAATGTGAATAGGAACATTTAAAATCGCGAATCCATGAGGTTGACATCGTCAATTCATGAAGTTGAAATTTTGGAAACTCGAAATCATGATGAAGTTGAATTCATGATTCATGAAATAAAAAGCGTGAATTCTTTTTCCCTAAATCTTGAATTCCTGAAGTTGTGAATATGGGAAGTTTCAATATCACCACTGGGCTTTCGTAAGTATGTTATACATTTAAAGTACTATTGTACTATGTTTTATGCTGGAGTACATTTGAAATCTTCCAACAGCTAATAAATTATTTAATTTCACAGGTATAATTTAAGTTTTTTTTCTTCTTATTGCAAGGTTTTGAGTTAAGAGCGATTTTGTTCTTTTTTCGACCATAACAATCCGAATATTTTCGTGTCTAAAAATTACTTAAGACACGCTTAAAATGGAGTCACTGATGCATATCGTATCTATTCAAATAATAACATATAAAGAGGAAGTTTTGAACAGGTGTATTTGGTAGTTATATATTATATATTTTGTTCTTTTATCGGACGCTTTTTAAAAAATATCTTTCGCTTATCGAATCAGGAATAGCGTATTAACAGTATTGTGATAATTATTTTAGAATAATTATGCAAGTCTGGCAACTGTTTGTTTAAGCTTTATTGTACCTGAATATAGTTTAACTTAATTATTAAATACTTTTCATTTAAAGACTGATTTCATATGTGAATACGGAATAATGTTGACTCAGGGAACGTCAGCATTCATACTAATATTGCTAGTTGATATGGTATTTACTCGTAAGTTTTTCACTTCATGATAATTTGTACTTAAAGATTACAAATGTGTGAATTCTAGTTATAACATGTTTTTTTTATATTTCCTAAATGTTTCTATAAAAGTTTGATGTTATATGTTATCTTTTTATAAACTTTATTTTATTAATTTTTTCTTGTGGTCACATTATTTTTTTTATTTATATATATATTAAAAATCTGACTTAGCATCTTTACATTGTCTATTTGGAAGTACAAATGTATATATATATAATTACAAATGTGTATATAGGATAAAAATACATATTTACAGAATGTCCTGTTGGCTACAAGTTATGTTCCGGTTCAAATTGCACAATTTGTGAATCATCTTACTTTTTATCAAATGACTTGTGTTCACCATGCCCCGAAAACTGTGAAAGTTGTAACACCTGGAATGACTGTACTTTATGCAAGCCTGATAAATATGGTTTACATGCAAGATGTTCTTTCAACTGTGATGGTAATTGTCTAAATAATGAATGTCAAGATGATACGGGACATTGTACTCAATGTAAGCCCGGTTTCTATGGATATCAATGTCAATACAATTGTAGTTTATGTGAAAATGAACATTGTGATTTACGTACCTGCTCGAGTGGTTGTAGGGCTGGATATTATGAGTATAAAACAGTTGTTGAAACAACATGTCTAAGATGTCCGTCAAATTGTAAACATTGTGCGGATGGAAAAACATGTTATATTTGCAATGACGGTTTTCACCTCTATAAGTTTAATGACAATGTTCATTGTGTGTCATGTTCGCAAGATACGCAATGTCCGGACTGTTTTATTCAAGGTTGTAACCAGTGTAAAATATATAATGCTTCGTTAGTCTGCGCTGATTGTCCAGAAGGACAAATATTTGATGGTCAAACATGCGGGTCACACATATCATTGTGCTCAAAAGAATGTTCTACGTTTTGTGATAGTACTGGAATATGTCAAGGAGAATGTAATGAGGGCTGGACTGGTGAAAAATGTTCCGTAAAATGTAACAGCCAATGTTTAAAGTGCTCAAAGGATAACGAAAATATTTGTCTACAGTGTAAAGGTAATTTTTACTCAACCGATTGCAGTTTAGCCTGCGATCCGGCATGCATAGTAATAAGTGGTAAACATACCTGTGAACATGCAGGCGGCTATTGTCTCAACGGATGTAATCAAACATTTTGGGGCGATTCCTGTGATAAACCCTGTCCTGATGGATGTAAAGATCTTAAATGTGATCGAAACAATGGAACATGTACGGATGGATGTAAGGATGGACTGACCCGAGACGGATGTACTCAAACTATTACAATCGCTATACAAGGTGCATAATATTATTACTGTCATAAAAAATGTTAAATTTGTAAGTGACTCATTTGAATTCAATCAAATTCGTATTTATTATAAATATTGAATATTTATAATCATTTGCCCTTTCCAATGGTAGCATTAAATGTGATATTGGAAAATACTTTACGAGTCTTGTCTTGCTTACATGTGTAAGTATTACCTTGAACGTAGGTAGCTATTACTCGTGTATGTATGGAGGCTATTCGTTGCCAAAAATCCAGCCTTGTTGATCTGAGTTGAACAGTTTGTTAATGGAAAAAATACAATTGTATTTCTTTGTATGTAAACTCCAATGTTGCATACTTGCATTGAGTTTGCCGATTTAACATTGTAAACATGCATTTCAACAAAATACATTTTGTTAAACGACAAAACATTAACTGATAGTAGCAATACCAAGTGTTCGAATACTCAAAACAGAAGTTCCATTCTTAGCTTTACATTGTCGAACCATCATGATTCAGATCACACAATCCAGCTTTACACGTTTTTTAATAGGTGATAAAATAAGCTCCGCCCATTTTCCCGCCCACTAAATCATCGTAAATAATCGTATTTTCCGCTCATTTTCGGTATTTACCGTCGGCGACAAGAAGCGGCGTAGTTTCCGTTTATCATACCTTTTAGGTGTTTAGTTACTAAACATAATTCACTTGCATGATTGCCTACAATCAACATCAGCGGGCTTTAAAGGAATATAGGCATATAAGTTTTAAAACGTTGTAGACACCACATTTCCTGGAAAAAGAAACTTAAAAAAACAACCAAAAACACCAGGTTACATACTGTCTGAGGTTAAATATTTTTCAAGGAAGTGAAAACTATTGATAAGACTATATTCAACGACAAATAAATTTTACTGATGGTATTCCAATTTGCATAGGAATGAGTAACATTTACAGTTAAGCTGCTACCTTACCACTTTCAAATTTTGAAGTCAACATCTGTTGACAAGAAAAAAAACTTTTTAGCAATAGTAAAATTATAACCAAAGTTGTATGTACCCTTTCGTACATAACTTTTTATTTTTACCATATATTTTCCAATGTTTCCCATTTTGTTGTTCAGTAAAATTTAAATGAGTCCAAATGTATGTATGTTGATTATCAATTTATGTATACCTTGTTTATTTTCTCTTAGAAAGCCATCACTTACAAAACTTAATAAATATTCTGTGTAGTATTTCATATACATAAAAGTAGTTCTCTGTTTTTGATCATATAGACAGCAAATCTAGACAGCAAATCTAGGTAATAGCTAATGGCAGCATGTATACACATATTTTAGGGGTTCTATTGATTCAGCACAATGCATAAAAAAGACCTTAACCTACGCCAGCTTACATATATTTAACAATAAAAGGCTAAATCACATCCTATGACTCAAAATACCTCCCAATGGAGGTAAACAGAGTTGCCAGGATACACTGAATATTTATTCAACATTAAAATGGGACAAATTCACAAGTTTTGGTTATACAACGGAATTATCGATAGTAAACTTTGCATTGTTTCGTTGTTATACACTTGGTCAAAAATATGAGTTTTTCTACAACCCAACATAGTCCTTTAAAGAAAGAAGGCACAAACTTATTGTTCAGTTCTCTTTATTCGTGTTGCCAAAAGTGCCTTCCATGTATCGCATTCTAGTACTATTTGCTGAAGGTAAAAAAAGAAAGATCTGCTTATGAGTATTGCCGTGGCTCACAAAACCCTATCATTGATATCAATGAATAGTGGTGTGTGTCATTATATATGGGAAACATTTCCTTATGTTATTTCACCAACTTTAGTTTTTGCATATTATTATGCTCATTATCAGTATATACGTTGTTACATTTTTACATCATATCTTAACCAATTTTGCATTACTTGAATATCCTGTACTAGAATACGTTTTAACAAAATCAGAGGATGTTCAAAGTCAATATTGATGTAACAGTTTCTATATAATTTGAAATATTTTTGTACCAGCAAGAGTTACCTCTCTTTATATTCTGCTTTCGTGAAATTGGCTCCGCCTATTAATTTTCGTCTATTTCCGTGATAATTCCATATATGGAAGTTGCAAAATCGTTTACAAATGTTAATCGCGTTAGAATGTAACAGGAAAGTGTGGTGTTGTAAACCTGAGTGTGTCAAGTTGATGCAGTTACATTCTCAACGTCATGATGCACAGCATTAAACGTATTGTGTACGTTCTATCGTTTACATTTCTACATGTCGCAAATTTGAAATTATACATTTATAAATACAGTTTGCAATTTATCTAAGTTGCATGTTAACAGCTTTCATTTTATCAAATCGAGATAATCAAAATGCTTAATACCAGTGCAGTATGTAACTCTCGGATCGACAATTAGATTTTTACTAATCTGTTTAGTAGAACCGAAGTATGCATTGTCAAGTTTCAAAGGCTGGATTTTTGGCATTGAATAGCCTCTATATGTATGTAGTAGGTTATAAGATCGAACGTTTTAACTCGTGTAAGGAAACCTTTACACATGTGCACATAATACTAATTTAAAATCAATCACATTGAATCAATCTCACAATTAACATAAATATTGGATAGTCATTACTGTTTGCAATTTATTCGTGTGTCATTTCAGAAATACTGGAGATATTTTATTTGCTATGTTCGCGTGTGTTAGTATTTAGGGGAATGTAATGATGGCTTGACTGTGAAAAATGTTTACCAATATGTTAAAACAGTTGCGAGATGTGCTCAAATGTTCAATGACCACTTTAACTCTTTCATTAAGTAAATGAATGATCTAAGACTTGTGTTTGTAATTAAGTTTATTTATACTCGCCACCACTTACTCATATGAGCGATTCCTCAACAAAAGTACTAGTCATTTTAGAATTTTGAGGATACAGCAAGATACAGATACGGAAAGATGCCCCAATTGCAGAAGCTTTTCGTGGCTCCTTAACGTATTTAAGCACCCATAAACGCGACCTCAATTTAACTTCTCATCTGAAAGACTGATTGAGTAGTTTAAAGTAGCCAACCAGGGAAACGAACCCACAATGTAAAGATCACAAGTCTCTCTATCACGCGATTGAGCAAGGCGGGCTGACTTGATCTTCAACGACTTTTGTGCAGATTAAGTTCCAGTAATCAATAGCGCATTGTTAGGGTAATGTTTTTTACAAGTCAATGTTTAATCTACAGAAACATCCGTGACAACAACATCAACGACAGCCGAACCTGTAACACAACAACAAACATTTGTGCAACGTGACGATAAAGCTAATATATTTACGGTTGGTTATTTCTCTGGATTCGGATCCTGTGCCGCCATAGTAGTATTTGCTGTATTGTTTAAGCTAATCAGACTAGGTGAATGTTGTCACTAATATTGTACTATACAAGATGTTTGTTCTTCACTTATTTAATAGTATACAAGATATGTATGTGTTGTTAATGTAAGACACATTTTCTTTACTCAGTCTGGTGAATTTCAATAAGTATGGTAATAAACATGATGTTATTGTCGCTATCTTATTATGCTTGAATTGTTATGTTTGTACTATCAAGTTAATTATGTCGGTTGGTATTTGTTTTTATTATATACTTATGAATGAAATATTGAGAAATATTGATAAAATAAAATGCGTATTTTTATTTTCCGTATTTTCACTGTAAAAATTTATTTTTCACTGGTATTTTCCGTATTTTCACTGGTGTCTTGCCGGACTACTTTCTTCTAAATTCAGCTAATAAACAAAATTAAAAGGGAACTCTTCCTATACATAGGCTAAATGAGGAAAAAAAGTATATAATAAACAGAAAATTCAAGTTTTCCATAAATACAGGATTTATTTTCATCTTGTGGTATGAAAATTAACATATTTCACTCGTGGCTACTGTCACTCGTGAAATATTTATTTTCATTCCACTCGATGAAAATAAATCCTGTATTTATAGAAGAAACTTGAATATCCTCAGTCTATGTATTTTACGTATTACTTAAAATACACTTAATATGTAATAATGTATAATACTTTTATAAATTTTATTCAGGTATTTTCCAAGTAAAACATCCCAAGGTAACACCAGCAACGTTGAGATTCCAACATATTATAACACTAGAACTGAATTCGTAGCTGTAAATGCTGAGTCAGCAAATGTGACTTATAATTACGAGAGCTTAAATAATAACAGAACCACGGATAATGTATACAATGGTAATTATTATGTTATTTTCTTCAACATTCAAGTTGGTAAATCTAGAATTATGATATGTTTAAATACTTTATTTCATATTTACTCATAATATTTATTTATTTATTTATTTTGTTAATTTGTTTATTTTCAGATCTAGGAACAACATTGTCATAGATGCAAGAGAGATAAGTCTTACTAGTGGAAACATCGATGTGAATTTTTAGACTGTATTTGTTGTTTCCCTAATTCAGTACATATTTTATGGTGGTGATAAAAGCTTTATATTCTTTATCCCAAACAAACATTTACAACAACGAATTTGAAGTTGGTCCCTTTGTGTGTGAACACTAGAAGTTTTAAATATCCATCTGCGATTATTAATGTTGCAGTATGGTTTTGAAAGTCTTTAATTTGCAGTTCATAAATCTGAAATTAGTCTCCTTCCAAAACTCATTTTAGTTTGTGCTTTAAAGGAAAATGTCCTTTGTTATTACTCCTTTGTTATGAATCCTTTTATTTCTGAATAGCAATGCTCATGAAAATTAACATGTTGTGGATTAACTCGCGCGCTTTTGTATTTAGAAAGACGATTTGAATCCAAGTCTTAGAATCTGACTAAAGAAAAAAACATTGAAGCGGTCATTTGTTTATTGTAAAAATGGTCTTACATATCAGGGCTTTAAATACACTTAGGATATATCATCTATGAAACACAACCTTGACTTGATTCATTCGTATGCAATATTCTGATTGCCATTTTAGTCTGTGGAGTGGAAGCGAACCTGTTTAGATTTACTCAACCATAATGGGCCAGTCTTTTAACGGATTGTAATAATTATTCTATCACGCGTAATTTATGAGAATTAAACATTGAAAATCAGTTGTAAATTGTGTTTCTTCCTATAATGAAATACAGTAGAGATATTGGGATTATATTAAATTGTAATGTAAATAGATAACAGAGAAATAACACATTTACTTTCGGATTTAAAAGTGGACCAATTATCAAAAACTAAGTTCATTTCCCTCTAAGTATTTTTAAGTAAAGAAAAATGATTAGTTATTGCACTTTCAATACTTAAAGTTTTTGTTAGCTTTATAGCCATTTTGATTTCATATTATGCTATTTCCTAACCTAAGGAAAAGTTAAATTCCTTATACATTCTGAACTTGTCATTTGGTGTTTTCTTTTTGTGTCGCCTGCTACAGAGTGATGTCACAAATCTTGTCTGGACCTCTCATGATTAACAGCTTGTGCAATTTCATCCAAACTTTACACGAATGATTGGTTCCAAAGTGTCCTGTTATGCATATCGCCAGTATTTGACACTTCAATGGTTTTGTCAGAGTTATCGCCATTATTTTTATTTCTTAAAGCTTTTCCCGGAATACTTTTCCTATTCTACGAGGAATTAACGGATCATACTTGTATGCAACATTAACAATTTGGACTGATATTTTTTTTGAAATTTATCGCCTTGCGTGCTCGGATTGCTTTATTTTGCTTCTGCGTGTGTTAATTCACGAAAAAGTACATTATCCCTTTATTACTGTACTGGCATATTTTATCTTCATGACATGGAGATGTCATTACAATAAAGCTATACATGTGGTAACTGATGCAGATCATATAAATTGTGTTTTTATTGTCGACTTTATCAATTTGAATAACATCATATTGCGTATTAAATAGTGAATGAAATAATTATTTTATGTAATGTATGTATGGAGTCATTGCATGCTGCATTATATATTTGTAGAGGAAGTTTTAACCGTATTTTAATTTGCAATGATTTTCTTTTGGTAAATATGTTTGTTCGCCTTTGGTTAATTGTAGAAAACAACGATAGTTTCTTTTTTTATTTCGCTTTCTTGTAGGAATAGCAGCTATTATTTTGGTAAGGATATTTAAAAACTTTGTTTATTCATACAATATAAATTGAAGTTTGTCAAAGCTTGATTGTGAATTATGAAATATGAGCTAATTAAAGTGACACTTTAAAGTTTTGAAGTTGAGCTGAGTAAGTTATTTATTTCAAAAGACAAATAATTTCATGACAGATGTTGAGGTTGAAAGTTAATATACCTAAATTATAGCAAGGCTGTACTAATCTTTTTGAAAAAAAAAGAAAACTTACGATACATTCTCAACGATAAGATATTTTGTTCACGTGGTATATTTATATTTTTATATGGTAAAATATAAAATGGGACACTATTATGACAAAAAAGTTACTTGAATTTTAATTTTTACACTTTGATAAAGATTATGCCAGTTTATATACTGTTCATTAAAGCCATATTATGCCTCAGAAACTAATAAATTGCAATTTCTTAAGAAAAAAAAGAGATTTTTTTTAATGTTCAAATGATGGTTGCAGAGCATGTTAGATGCTTGATACGCTAAATGTGAAATAACACGACTGCCATAAATAAATTGTAGACAAAGTATATTTTGTCTTCTATTTTAATACATCACTATTATTGCTCTTATAGCCAAAAAGGAACAGAAAAAAAGATTCAGGTAATTAGATGAAAGAGTAATTTTGTGGAGGCTATAAAAGTACAACAGAATTGAGTTTTAAGAAATAAAAATAAAAGCCTTTATGTGGCAGAATTGGCTGTTAGTTTGCATATTGTACACGATATCTCGTAATGTATATAACATACTCTTCTATTTAACCTATAAAAAGTGAAGAACAAATCTAAAAGAAGCACTGTTATGTTATACTTATATTTGATAGTATGCCAATACATTCATTATTCTTGATTTTAGTTGGCAATACATAATACAGAATAATGTTGCAACATCTTAGGTCAGTTTCCGTATTCGTATTAGCAGTACATATTGACATTGTATTTACAGGTAAGTATTTTTATTTCATGATAACTCATTATGGTTTGAAAACAAGAGAGTGGGTGATAGTTTATAACTGTCTATTCGCCAAAAATATACAAATATTTTGAAAAAAGTAAAATAAACTATACAAAAATTGAGTAATTAATGATTGACCTTGCAATATTTATCACTATATTTCCATTGACTAAGGCAGGCAGGACTATTTGTGCATAATCTTATTTATTTTTGGTAGACTTTAAGTACTGTTTGTAATGTGAAAACACACTGTTTTACTCACTTGTCATTATTGTCACTTTTCAATACATTTTGTTGTGAAAATTATGAATATGTAGGCATGCTGCTTTAAAGTGACATTATGCCCATTCAAGGGCATACAGTGAGTGAACAGGTGAAAGTCAAAATAAGTTTTTATATTGCAATTATTCCATTTAAATTAATAATTTACTTCACATAAACAATAGATAACCCTAGAATTGAAACGGAATTTCTGTAAATATCAATTATAACTTACCTGAAATGTTTAGTTATAAAAGGAGTGGGCCAGTATTTTTTTATATTTAAGGTAGATTTTAAATTTTATCTTAAGCATTTTAAAAAATAAACTATTGGTCAAAAACCATTTTAACAGTCAATCTTTGGAAATAAAAGGTCAATTCAGCTCAACTTGACTATGAAAATATGAGCATTATGTCACTTTAAATGCCTATTTATATTTCAAAAGCCTAGTCAACTGATCTAATGTTATTCATTTACGGCTGTATAAAGATGTTGACATTTTACTTATATTTTGGTTAGGTCTTTTATTTTGTTTTCTAATAAAACACATATATCATATTCAATTTGGTTACTTTCATCAAATTTGATTTTTTTTTTGAATTTGTATCAACTAGAAATATCTATAACTATAAAATATGCAGAAAGGGTGCCGATCATGCTCTGGTACAACTTGCATAAGTTGTTAATATTTTTTTTAATTTTTATTAAATGGCTACTATTCAGCCTTATTGTGAAACCTGTATCAACTGCAATGAGTGATCCTTATGTAAACCAAAGAAATAGTGTTTACTTGTAAAATGTAACGACAAATGTGATTGTAATTGTCTCAAAATTGAATGCAAAGATGATACTGGATACTGTTATGAATGTTATCCTGGGCTCTATGGTCTTTGTAGTATTTAAGTAAAGATGGGAAAACGTGTAACTTTAGCTAGTATTATAAAGATATTGTACGCTGTGGGTCATGTGAGCATGAACTGCAATGTTCGGGATGTGTTATAGGACGTTGTTACAAACACGATCGGAGATATCTCTTATATAAACAAAAAAGGCCGGAAGCGTGTTATATTTTACAACAATCCCCTCGTCATTCTTATTTCATCCCTCCGTATTTTTAAAATGACACATTAACAGCGCCATTCAGTTTGAAAAATCTGATAAAAAAGCAACATTTTGGTAAATTTTGTTCTGAAAACAAAAATCAAGAATGAAAATGGTGTAATAAATCCGAACACCAAAATCTTTAATTTAGTTATTTACGCTGTACATAAGTTTTAAGCGTTGTTTACCTGACGTCACAATGTAACGCCAAACAGTTCAAACAAGAACGCTAATTCAATGTCGCAAACCAGTTAAATTCCACATTTACTTCACTATAAATACTCTGTATTTCGCTTGAAAAATATAAAGTTAAATAAACAAACACACAAAAATTTCATCGACATTTTCAAAATTAATTATTCTGCAAACTGTAGACTTAGCAAAATTTTTTAACCGGCTGGAACAGCCTTTAAAGAACGTTTCTATTGGAAACTCTGAGGCGAAAACAAATTCAACCAGCAAACATATTGTCCAACTATATTTTTTTCTTGACATGTTTGAATGAAAATAGATATTAATTCTTTGTACATTATTGTACAATTACGCATTTTTTTGTAATTAATCATACAGGCCTATCGGCGTGCGTGATTATATTCCTACACATTTGCACTCAAACCGTGCATTATTCTACAACAATGCACTCAGAATTGATAGCTATTTCCTTAATATGTTTTAGTCTACACAAGTTGTACAGAGAGACAAAACTTTAATCGCAACACGTGTGGAATATGTCATGGGGAATATAATGATGGCTGGCTTGGTGACAGATACTTAAATTAATTTTTTAAGTGCCATTTTTTGTCGGCATGTAAGAGTAATTTTACTCAATCGATTGCAGTTTAGTTTGTAGTCAGCCACATGAAGCAGATGTTGGTAAAAACATTTGAACTGAAAATACAGATAAGTTAAATTGTAATACATATTAAGACAATATTTCAATTGTTCTTCTGTGTTTTATCTCATTCGCTTCTGAAGTAATTTATCAGATTGATATGGAAAGCTTTTGGTCCGAACAGATACGTGTTTGCATTTTAAGCACTCACATTGTTACGTAACTGTGTATAACTCTCAATTTTGGTTGGTGAAAATGTTTTTTCAATGAAAGTAATAAATGAATGATTTTTGACCGGTCTTTGTCCAATTTTAATACGGGTTATGTTGTATTACTAAAACATGTTCATTTACCATCATAACGTTATTCGTTATGCTATAATGTATATTGACCTTCTGCAATATTATGACAGGGACAACAAGAACACCAGCAATAACTGCTACACAACAAAATCTATCCGTGAGGCATGGAGATCGAGTCAACCATTCTACCATAGGTTATTTCTATGTAATTGGATCTGTTGCTACCATAGTTCTTATTGCTGTTTTGATGTATGTTATAAGATGGAGGTAATGCAATATAACATATGCGCCCTTAATGTATAACAAATTAATGTTGATAATGTTGTATTGAATGTAATGTTCTTTATTATAATTCTTTTAAACGTTTTAATTTTCTTTTTTTGTTTGAAAACTGTCAATGTGACAACTATGTATTACTTTAAAAATTTTGATTATTTTACAGGTACCTTTCACTTAAAAATCCCCAAGATAGCATGAGTATTGTTGGGATTCCTACCTATTGTAACAAGGGAACTGATTTAGAATGTGTAAACGTGGAGTCAGACAATGCTGCTAACAACTACGAGAGTTTAAGCAACAACAGGGTCACAGATAATGTGTACAATGGTAACTGTTATGTTTTTTATATGGTATTACTAGCAATAGTCTCAAAATCATAAATAATTACCATATTTGTAATACTTTAATTGCCTTCTGCACAACTAAATTAAACATATGCATGCATATCTCTAACTAGTTACAAATTCACTATTTTTATTTCCAGATCTGAACACAGCAATGTCATAGATGTCAGAGGAATGGATTGCAATTATAAACTATTGAAAGCAACGAATTCCTAGACTGTATTGTTTGTTTCTCAAGGCACGGTTTATAAAATTAAAAAACTATGTCTATGACGATACTGATAATAAAACATTATCCTTTGATTGTAAGACTGAATATGAAAAAAATATTTAAAGATGTAAATTATATTTGGTAACAATACTTGTTGAACATAAATACTTGTAACTACGATATCTTTGGATTTTATACCTATATTTTTCACATATATTGTTCGATACGTTCACTTGGAAATGTTCTGAACAAAGTGAAAATGAATTTTTGAAAAATAAATATGTAAACTACATGTATTATGCTCATAATGAAAGATTTACCAGTATAAGTATATTAACCTACAGAATCCTTTCTGTAGAAACACTAGCTACAACAACAGCACAGTAACTTTCACAAAACACCAAACAACCGAAAGGTATAATACGGAGCCCCTTAGGTGACATTTTCCACACTTTCTTCACCGGAACTTAATTCGTTATTACGAAACAATTATTCGTAATTACAAAATATTAATTCGTAATTACGAAATATTCATTCGATTTTACAAAATATTCATTCGTTTTTACGAAACATAATTCGCAATTACGAAATATTAATTCGTAAAAACGAAATTTTATTTCGTAATTACGAAACATTAATAAATTAATTATTAATACGAAAGCAACGGCTGAATTCAGCAATTATACAAGAAAATTGTGAAATTTTAATTTAGAAATTAATAATCCGATCTATCCTGACATATTTTGTCAACAACGGTCTACAGTTTTTGCGTGCACTTAACGAGATATAACAATATATATATATATATATATATATATATATATATATATATATATATATATATATATATATACAAGTTTCCATAATGAACTATTTTTTACGTCTACATCATAAACAACTGACCAGAACCTCTGTATTCTGTACTAAATATAGATTTGAAATCATATTCAGAAACAAAATCATAATTGTTACAAGTGCTTTGTCCTTTGTGACTTTATATATTTCCTGTTATATTAATCTTAGTTTTACACACTGTGTAAACCTTTAGTTTTCACCTTGAATAACCAACAAACATGCAAATATCGTCCGTTAAACCAAACACATTCCACTTCACTTCAATACACATGTATTTTTATTTCAGCTGGCAGTTATAATGTGTTTATACATGTACACATGTAAAATTGGCATTAGATTAAAGATGGAATTTAAGTTACAAAAAAAAAAAACAATCTTAAAGCGATGTAATTTTAACGTGCCAACGTATTAAGCCATTGAGAACGCTCTAAAATAGCTGTGATAGCGATATATTAACCGTAGACTAATGAATTATCGAATTTATGACGTCGCAATTAAACATAGTGGATGAAACGTATTTATTTTACCTCGACTACAAAACAAGTTTTCACAACGTTTAACTTATAACAATTAATTTTGAAAATTTTGAATATTTAACTGCATAAATTCACGTTTCCAGTGTCATTACTTCACGATTTAAACATCACAAAAACGTTACAAGCGGTTTTGTTCTATTTTCGACCATATCAATCCGAATATTATCGCGTTTAAAAATAACATTTAGAATCGCTATAAGAAGTCACTGATGCATACCGTATTTATTCAAACTACAACATTGAACGAGGAAGTTTTAAACAGGTTTACTTGGTAGTGAATAGTCGGGTAGTTATATAAATTATATTGTTTTCGTTTTAGGAATGTTAAGTGATATTTCTTAACTATTTTTTGTTTTTCTTAATAGGAATAGTATTGTGGTAATATTTTTTTTCAGTATACTTATGCAAGATTCTTTGCTTAACCACGGAAATGAAGGATTATAAAACTAGCATCGTTTAGTCATGCTTAAAACATAATACATTTGAACTAAATTCCTATACGTCGATCACATAATTATCGGTATATATGTATTATTCTGGTTTCATACTAATATTGCTCGTTGATATGGTATTTACTCGAAAGTTTTTTTTTTACTTCATAATAATTTGTACTTAAAGAAAACCAATGTGTTAATTTTAGTAACAGCATGTGACACACCATTAGTACTGAGCTTGGAGATACGTATAACCACGGAAATGAAGGATTATAAAACTAGCATCGTTTAGCCATGCTTAAAACATAATACATTTGAACGAAATGCCTTTATGTTGATCACATTATTACCGATATATGTGTATTATTCTCGTTTATAGATTGGTTTTCATAGGAATAATGTTGTCTCAGGAAACGTCAGCATTCATACTTATATTGCTCGTTGATATGGTATTTACTCGTAAGTTTTTAACGTCATGATAATTTTTCCTTAAAGAATACCAATCAGTGAATTTTAGTTATATGTTGTTTTTTATTTTTCCTAAATGTTTCTAAAAAATTTGATATTATATGTTATCTTTTTAAACTTTATTTTATTTTTTTTTGTGGTCACGTTTAATATTTAATTTATCCGTATATGTAACATTCGACTTAGCATCTTTACATTGTATATTTGGAAATACAAATGTATATAATTACAAATTTGTATATAGGATAAAAATACATATTTACAGAATGTTCTGTTGGCTGCCAGTCATGCTCTGATTCAACTTGCTTGAGTTGTAAACCATCTTTCTTCTTATCAAATGGCTTCTGTTCACCATGTCCTGAAGGTTGTAAAAACTGTAACGGCTACGATGACTGTACTTTATGTAAGCCAAACAAATTTGGTTTGCATACAAGATGTACTTTCAACTGTGATAGTAAATGTCTAAATAATGAATGTCATGATGATACGGGATATTGTATTCAATGTAAACCTGGTCTTTATGGTTGGCAATGTTTACATAATTGTAGTTTATGCGAAAATGAACGTTGTGATTTACGTACTTGCTCAAGTGGTTGCAAAGCTGGATATTATGAGTTTAATTCGGGTGTCGAAACAATATGTCAAACCTGTCCGTCAAATTGTAAACATTGTACGGATGGGAAAACATGTTATATTTGCCAGGATAGTTTTCATCTCTATAAATCAAATATCAGTGTTCAATGTATACCGTGTTTGCAAGAATCGCAATGTCCGGACTGTTTTATTCAAGGTTGTAATCAATGCCAAATACGCAATGATTCGTTAGTCTGCACTGATTGTCCAGAAGGACAAATATTTTCTGGCACAACGTGTAAATCAAACACATACCCATGCGCAGAAGAATGTTCTTCTTATTGTAATAGTAGTGGAATATGTCAAGGGGAATGCAATGATGGCTGGACTGGTGAAAAATGCTCAGAAAAATGTAACAGCCAATGTTTAAAGTGCTCAAAAGATAACGGAAATAATTGTCTACGGTGTGTTGGTAATTTTTACTCAACCGATTGTAGCTTGGCTTGCAACCCGTCATGCATAGTACAAAGTGGTAAACATACATGTGAACATACAGGAGGATATTGTTTAAACGGTTGTAACCAAACCTTTTGGGGCGATACCTGCGATAAACCTTGTCCTGGTGGATGTAAAGATCTTAAATGTGATAGAAATAATGGTACATGTACGGATGGATGTAAGGATGGACTAACTGGAGATAAATGTACTCAAACTACCACAACCGTCGAACAAGGTGTGTATGATTACTGTCATGAATTTATTACAAAATAATTATTTAAATTTATAAATTTCTCATTTGGAATAAATCAAATTCAAAATATCCATAGATATTGAATATTTAGAACGTTTGCCCTTTCTTATAGTGGCCTTAGGAGATATTGAAAAAAACTATATTCTTCTAGTTCACACATCTTGGTAGTACTTGCGACACTGCTTACTAATACGTGCGCAAGTAGTAATTAATACGTTCGACGTTTTAACTCATGAAAGGTTACTATTAAAATCACATTCCCGTAGAATCAATTCATAATAAACATAGACATTGATAGTTGCTAGTTACGCCGTTTACCACTGTGACATTTTAAAGATATAGGAAATGTATTTATTATTTTTCACCTGCACACGTGTTAGTAGTTAGTGGGACTTTGTTAACTATTAGCGAAGTAGCTGATATATGTGCGCCTGTTTACTCGTGTAAGATAGCAATGGGCAAACATGTGTACATGTAATACTGACTTGTGTATACATTATAAATCAAATATTTATAGTGTAAAAATAATTTTTGTACAAAAAATATACAAAGGAGAGCACAGTACACAGAACAATGCCCCATTAAACGTTCAGTTTAACAAAGCCTATCGAATGGTTTCTTCAATGTTTCTTTTAATAAGTAAAACAATTTCTTTTTAAACAGATGTAACAACAAGTCAAACCGGAGCAAGTTCACACCAAACTGAGAAAACAGTTACGGTAATGCAAGAAAAGAAAGAAAGCAACGAACTTATCATTGGTGCAGCATTAGGGGGAGGTGTCCTTATCTTGATACTGATCATAGTGGGAGTTTGTATGCTAAAAAGAAGGTATAAAACAAATATGCATAGTATGGATTCATTTTTTAATCATAATAAAATATACTGTGGTCACAAAATGAATATAGAGTGTCGTATACAAATCTGGCCATTTTTTTTCTAAAATTAAATAAATGACCAACTTTACCTGACCTGTGATAGGGAAAGTAGCTTCCAATACATCGGTTATTCGTTTCTTTAGTCCATTAGACATATCCAGTAAGGATTTCATAGATTTTAATGAATTTCTGTTATCAAAATATCTTACTCAATGATGAGCAAAGTTTATTTTTAACTAATTGATGGGTGCCTAGACACAAGTCTAGCTGAAGTTAGCTTCTAAATAAAAGAAGAAAAAAGAAACAAATAATTAATACGGGCCTTTTATTCATGACACGTTCATTTTAAGACTTTTAATCTTAAATAAATCTAGGACATCGCTGCGTGTGTTCATTGTCGTTTGCTACAATAGTCCGTTCTTTATTATTTTTAAGTTTTACAAATTCCATCATAATTTTATTTTTCGTTTTAGTAAATTTTTATCGTATGGCATAAATTTGTATTCACTTGACAGAAAAAAATCGCCACGAGAAGAATCCGATCAACATGAGGTAGTTGTTGCAGAAGATCAATGTATGTATTACGTTTAAAGATAAAGCCGATAAATACATTTACATGATTTAAATATTCACATAACATAAATAAACAGTATAATATCACCTCAAGTCGTTAAGAAGAAGATATAGTGTTACAGTGTGACATATAAACAAATGTATTTGTTCTTATAATAATTAATCGTTATATAACAAAACCTTTAATGCTATCATCTTTCATTTTCTTATTCAAATATGTAAAATCTATTCTTTTCTGCAATGATTTTAGATGTGTACTCAAAGCCAATAAAAACACCGGCAGCAGTTGGAGAAAGTCAGGACTACATATATACACAACCTAACAAAACACACAAGCTCAAAAAGGCTAGTACGAGAGAAATTACCAAACCAAAAGCCATGTATGATAACTTTGCCATAGACTTAGATGATAAAACAACGGTCTCAGATGGTGCGTATGCGACGATCACTATTGATAGAGATCCTGAAAACAAAACAGAAGAAGAAACCGATGTTGATGAAATAGAGTTAGAGGAATTAGATGAAGGAAATTCTAAACTTATCGAAAAAGGTTTGTTTTCATTGAAAAACCGTATTCGATCGGGATGCTTAAATAACATATATGGATAGTACGTATGTAATTTTCTTCACTTTATTGTCAGAAATATCAATTGTACCAGCACAGGGATAAAAATTAAAGACAGTTTCCTACCATTCTGAAGTATATAATTTATTTTGTGAAATTTCTGTTACACGTCAATCTATATAGCTAAGGATTATTTTTATTACAAAGCCTTTTAAATTACAGAAGTAAATCCACCGAGTGCTGATTTGTATTACAATACAGCAAGTTTGGTTCGAAGCCGAATTCAAGTATCTGACCTTCTTGAATACGTCAGGAAGAAGACTGATTATGAAGATGAGTTTGAGGTTGAGTATTTATTGTTGACATATCGCCGTTCCTGTCTGAATGAATATCTCTTTTATAGTTTGAAACTGAAACAAAATTCTGTAATTTGATACTGCTAAAATGGTACATATGTATTAATTGTCTCTCGGTTAAATGTATGTTCTTCTAACTATAATTATATTGATATAGCGAAGATAAATTTGATGATGCGTGTTATAATAATTCAGCTAACGTTTAGGGTATTGATACAAAATTCATTTTTCATTTTAGAAACTACCTAAAGGTTTGACAAGGCCTTGTGACGAGGCTCTTACTCGGAACAATCGCAAGAAAAATAGAAACAATGGAGTGTATGCATGAAAATATTTATCTTATTTTAGGAAAATTTTGTTTGGTTGTGTTGTGTTGTGTTGTGTTCCTTTTTTATGTTACGAAACTCATTTACCTATATCTTATAATGTACTTTAATATCTTTATGAAATTAATACATACGCTATTCTCAATTCATTTGAGTATTCATTATTCAAGGTTTATATTTGAAAAAACTGGTACCGACTTCTTACACAGGCTCGTTTTAAATGTTAAAAAATCCATCTTCTGAGGTACAGAAAGAAAATAAATTTTAACCGCTATTGGTAAACACTTAATTAATACATAGTGTAATTAAAAGAAAACGCATTATGTTAAAAAATATCATATTAACATGACTAGTTATAGGGAAGAGAGGTTGCAAACAATCTGGAAAAAGGTGGATCCTCGAAAGCATTCATAACAACAAAATAACATAAAAATGATTGTGTATTATCTTTCTTAAATTAGACATATCCAGTAAGAATAACTTAGCTTTTAACTAATTTCTACAAAAATGTTTTACACTAAGACGATCATAATAATGTCTCAATTTATTTCGAGCTTTAAGAAGGGTCACTCTTCGCTGTTTCAGATGATGCGACTCGTGTTGTCTTAAAAAGTAAAACCTATATCAACGCAAACTATATTGATGTATGTATAAACACATATACGTGTTTGATTATTTTTGTATTTTGTAATATCGGAATATTGTCATGTTTAGCACGTCTTTCAACATACAACTGTTTTTCACTGACAATCCTAGCAGCTAGTCATTTGATATTTCGTTAACGTATACATAATAACTTAATAACTGATTAAGTTTAGCATACTTATGTCTTGAATTAAATAATGCCATTATTTTTTACAATAACGTGTGCACAAAAAAATAACAAATGTGTTTACATTGCCATTGACTGAACATTGGTTTGACTGATCAGATAATATTCAAGAATTATCAGTATTTGTATATGGATATTTTACATAGAGATATTTAACATCTATTTATGTTTCATAATTTAGGGACATAAGAAATCACCAGAGTACATAGCCTCTCTCGGTATGTATACAAGGTTTAACTAATATGTAGGAATCATGATATTTAAGAAACGATTTAAAGCACAATACAATTTTAATTATATTTAATATTGCAATAGTAGTTGAAGGTATGTGGGATTCTACAATTTTAGGGTGTCATATTTACATCAATATTCCTCATATATTTTTTCACTTATAATTGAAAAATGGCTCATACACATTTTACCATGATTTTACATGTCTACCCAAAATTTTTGTAAACTTCATAAATTTAGCTTAACATTGGTATAACATTTATCCATGGACCTTTTTTGCACACAAACAGTCCCCAGAGACTGTACTATATCACTTGAGGGTGTCATATTTACATCAATATTCCTCATATATTTCTTTATTTATTACAGTTATGATATTTTTCTCTTATACTTGAGGGTGTCATTTTTGCATCAGTATTCCTCTTATATTTATTTACTCATTAATGTTTTAAGGACCAACTAAGGATGCAATGAATACTTACAAAGACTTTTGGGAGATGATATGGGAAGAAAAAACAGATAAAATTATTATGTTGACAAATCTAGATGAGTCTGGGGTTTGTATTTTACCACACTTGCCAGGAAAAAAAACACTTAATTTAGTTTTGTATGTTTCCTGATTAACTTGACTTCATATAATTATAAACATCTGGATAAAGATTCAGCCTGATTAAAACTTATGTATTTACTCAACATAAAATTATAAATATACTGAGAGTTATATGCATATATCTAATAATAATTTCATTTAAACAGTTTGTATAAAACCTATTATATTATTTGCTTCATATAATTAATTGTATTTTCACTTATTTATCTTGTGCCACGTATAATTTGGTAATATACACAAAACTTTAATTATTGTCAGAAATGTAAAAAGATAAAATCACGCTTTGCTTACTTCATAGAAAATGAAATGTGAGCAGTACTGGCCGGATCAAGGGAAAACAAAGAATTACCATGGATACAAAGTTGTGTGCATTGCTGAGAAAATATTTTCAGAATTCACTTTAAGGGAGTTTTCTGTTAATGTGCAGGTATGTTATATTGTATCGAAACATAAATATACGTCCTAATCACCTTTGATTTGATTATCGTTTAAGATATAAATGGTCTATTTGTTTTGATCTTTCTAATATGTTGGCCAAACCTTATCTAAATCCCTAGATTGTATTAGTTTGTCTTAGATTTGCGAACAACATACCTCAAAATATTTTGAACAATGTTTTTTTTTTAATTTCAAAGGGTTCTGGATCAAGGAAAGTGACACAATATCACTATACCGCTTGGCCTGACCGATCTGTTCCAGATAATGTTGCCTCTCTGATAGAGTTTAGGAACAAAGTTGAACAAACAAAGTCAAACGATGCTGGCCCAATGGTAGTGCATTGCAGGTATTTGTTTTACCGTCATAATATATATATATGACTGATTACTGCAAAGACTCGTCAAACCATATATCGTCAGATGTCAACATACACATTACGAATATTAATCTCAAGAATTAATAGGAATATGCATTAAGTAATAAAATGCAAATATTATTTCATAAGTGTAATGACACAAAGCAAATAAAATATATTTTGAGTTGTTAAGTTCGTTTAAAAAAAGAAAACATTATTATGGTTTTGATACTATATAATTTTATCTTCATTTTATGATTTTTTATAACAGTGCAGGAATCGGTAGAACTGGAACCTATATCGCATTAGATACTCTTATACAGGAAAGCATGGATGATAATTATGTTGACATTTTTGGTCGTGTTATGGCGCTACGTGGACAAAGAGGTCACATGGTGCAAAACTTGGTATGCTATTATATATGGATGATATTTGTTTTTTAACACATGTTTGTCATCAATGTACTTTAATTGTGATTTCCTTAAAATCTATTATGATGGATAATATAGTAGGATATATATTTGAAGTTGTATTTTTATTATTTGACATAATTATTGTTATTCAGAACTATGTATTGTTCTTTCTCTTATTTAGGAACAGTATATATTTCTTCACCGATGTCTTCTGTATGCCCTCACGTGCGATCCCGATCCACTTCCGGTCACGCATATTCCTCGTTTGATGACAGATGATAAAATATCACATCAATTTCAGGTACATGTGTATATATTTATACAAATTGTGTTTTTATAAAAGCTTGTTTGTTTTATAATACCTTCCATTTTAGATTAATTAAAATCAGCATAATGACTGTAAACCCACACTCAACTGTCCATGAAATATTGTGACGGAAACTTTCGCTGTTTTATTGATTCAAATTATTTCATGTTTCTCTCCTCTGTGATATTTTTAGGCAAATCGTTTTATATTGGAGACATGATACTGCTTATTCTGAAGAAAGTGCTTGATAGTAATCACTCTACTCCTGTACTTCCTTTTAAACAAATAAGTTATCAATACATCCGCAAACGCTCCCATTTGAGATTAAAAATTCACTGTGAATCAATTATCTCCTTATGTATAATCTAAACATACGAATATTGTGTAAAATCGAATAATAACCATTAAGAAGATCATTATTATCAGTCTAATTGAAATTTGCCTAAGATTTAAACAGTTTTAAGGGGCTAAAGCTGGCAAAGGAAAAAAATAATAAAAGAAATAAAAAAGGTCATGGTCATTTGTAAGATATTTTTTAAGTTACCTAATGAACAAGAATCATCTTAGTAACAGGCGTGGTTGACTTTCTGAACATTTCAGACATTTACTGATGTTGTTATGCCGGAAGACTTGGATGGGAAATCATCTGCTAACAAGAAAATAAGGAAGGAAAATAGACACGGAGCTGACATTCCTGGTAAACTATGCAAATTTGAAAATAAGTCAGTGCCCCAAGGGGATGGGGCTAATACATAAAATACATTTTCAATTACACAAAGTAGAAGTAGAATTTTGACTTAATGATCCTTTGGCAGACAGAGTTGATTAAATTTATTAAATATAAAATAATTATTACAGTTAGCGTAAGTTTAGAGCTGTTTAAAAAGAAGATTAGAAAACCAACCCGTAATTCATAATTGTTTACAAACGTTCTTAAAACTTAAAAGTTTGAACATTTTTTGCATTTCAACAATATCACATTACATATTGCCATTGTATAGGTAAACTTCCTTTTCCATTCACACTTATAATACCATACTGTGTTAGTAATCGAAGATGTATAGAATATAACCGTCTTTAAATATACCCTATTTGTATAAAAATCTCATTTGAATAGGCAACCTTGGCTATTCAATGGTTTGTTAGGTTTGGTTTCAGGGTAATCCCCTATTGTGCATTAGGAAGTGATTTTAAGCCGAAAATATATTTTTATAACATAAAGCCATAAAACAAATTTAAATTGAACATTTTAAGATTTTAATAAATATCATCCTTTTTATGTGTAGGCGATGATTACAGAGTGAGACTGTCATCAACAAAGCATGACTACATAAATGCTGTTTATGTAAAAGTAAGTATTCAAGTGAAAGTAATTTTGATTTCGTTTGAAGTTTCGATTGTCTCCCTTTTCAATATTTTTTCGTGAACTTTGCTTACGTTGCCTCCCTTTCTTTCATAAAATATATATAGATATCCTCTTCAATCGGATTATCCTCGGCTATTATTCATAATAACTTCGGAAACAATACGGATAGAAAGTAGTTCTACAACGTGATTTCAGATGTAAACAGAAACAGGGAGTGTAATCTTCGATACTGTAAAACGAATATATATATTTGACATCCAAAGGAAAATAAAGTCTGTTTCGGTAATATATTATTGAAAATATGTCTGACAACGATTTTCAATTAAGATATAACCCTGATGAACGATTAAAATACAAATCTGACTTAGTGTCAACAGGTTGGCATGCTGTACTTTCGGTTTCTACAACCATGATAATAAGTATATAAATAATGTACTGTGTACATGTATATTTATGAATTAACTTATTTTGGATTGGCTTTTACATGATATATTGGAAAAATACTAGTCAACAACTCCCAGCATAACTATTTGTTTCTTAGAGTAGGTTAGACTGAAATACCGTATCCGTTCTGTGTATTCATACTACTGTGTTCGAGGTCCTTATCCGAAGACTGACGGAAAGGGCCGAAAAGTTGCGATCGATATCCTCATGTTGAATTGATACATAATGCATTTAAATTGTATTATTTTAATTGACATTTTAATAATACTCTTTTATTATATTAGCACAATGTGGATATATGTAAGCTATTTAAAATCACAGATATTTTTACAAAAATCTTACATTATTGTTGTAATCGTATGTTTAATTTCTTTTCACTCATCCTAGAAAAGTTTTGGAGCTGGTCATATTCCCGCGTTATTATCGTTCATAGACTGACTTTATATTAGTCTAGATCTATATGAAATAGTAAGTGTTGTAAAATCGTTCATACTTTTTACATGATTACGAGGAATGTTTAAATATACTTTAAACGGCATCATTCAGTTATAATGTTATGTAAAATTATACTTTACTCAGTATCTCAATTTCAGGGATACGAAAATCCATACAAATTTATTGTATCGCAGACGCCAATGCCGAATACAGTTGAAGACTTTATATCGATGCTTTATCAAGAAAAATGTGCTGGTGTCATTAGTTTAGACGACGAAAACCTAAAAGATAAAGTAAGTGCACACTTAAAGATAATATAGCTTGTTTAGAATAATTATATACATGTAAAAGATTTTATTTAATAGTATTAGTTGGCAAATTAATCCATACCTAACATATTTAGTTTCAGTGTCGTTTTACAACAAAATTTAATGCAATACAAATTTTAGCTATGAAAAATAGCTGGAGGATGGGGTGGATAAAACAAAGAATCACCTTTAAAGCTTAAATACTATGAGAGGTCTTTGCATTCTAAATCATTTTGTTTGTATGTTAATTTATAATTTAGACTGATTTTGAATTTTCGCTAAAAATTCTGATCAAATGTTATAACTGATTTCATATAGATTACTTGTAAAATATGATATTTCAATTTTTTAAGTTTGTTACTTTTGAATATTACTCATTATAGTCTGTCGGACATTATTTACCACAAGATGGAAAGGCGTTCAAAGTTGGTCATTTCCAAGTAACTTGTAAGACGGTTGACACAACGGATTATGGTACAATACGAGACATGACAATATCACGCACTGGATTGGTAGATGTTTTATTATTTATTTAGATGAAAATAAGTTATGAGGATTATTACGTCAGATCTTTTTGATGTCCCGATGCATAAAAGTAAAGGTTTCGGCTTTTCCTTCCAGATTCGAATATTTTTGTTTTTCATTTAAAATACATCACATTCATTTTGTTCACTGGTCAAGATCAAACATTATTCTGCAAGAACAATGAACGTTTTGAAAAAGGAAATGTGTGCAGAATTTGGGAGTTGTAGCTAGTCAGTAGTGATCTATTGTTATATCTATCATCACATAATTTCAATCCAGATCTTCATATTAGATTATGTATGATTACCGAACACTTTAAATAATAAGTTTATATTTGAGAACAATGTAATGCAGAACTTTTTGTTAATAAAGCACCTTCTGGGAGGAGAGCGCATTGAAAACATACCAGTATAACGATGAATCAGTCAGAAAAAGTCCCACATAAAGTTGAACCGTTTGTAAAGCTGGTCAAGGATGTTGAGAATAAGGTCAAAGGTCAAAGTGAAGAAAGACCAATCGTAGTTCATTGCTTGTAAGTATTGAATTTAAGTGATTTACTAGACCGCTTTTAACAAAAGAGCCGGTAGGTAAGATATAGCCAGACCCATTATTTGAATCATAACTGACTTTATCTTCAAAATGTCGATACGTTTTTACACAGTATCGGACTGTACATCGCTTTCATTATAACAACATAATAGCTGTTTATCAATGTAGCACTTGATCGCTTTTGTACTTTTAACAAGGGATTACACCTACTCCAAGCAAATAAAATTCAAGCCATTCAATGTAAGCAAACTGTAAGTGCTTTTGTATACGCCGTGACTACCGAATAACGTCAATAAGCATGATAATTACTTATAATTGACAATTATTTTCCTTAGGGTCCAACCAGGTATCTATAACATACATACATAATTCTTTACAAATTCTATAGCACCTGTGTTTATATGCTTTTTGTTTAATTAGATTATAATAAATATTTTGCACGTTTATGTGTATATTAGGTTGAAGCTAGAAATGTTCGCGGATTTGTTATAAGTGACATATTCGCGGCTATAAAGATTCGCGGAATCATGCCTACCGCGAAAAGCGCTAACTTAAAACGAGCGAAATCTTTTCTAGGAATACAGTAAAACAAATCTATTTGCGAAATCAGTTTTTCATATTTTGAATTTCTGTTGATCCTTTATGAGAGGAATCATTATATATGTATGCCCGTGTTTTTGATTGTGTAGCTATATTTAGAGCTGTGTGTTTGAACCGGCTTCAATCTTTTGTGGAAGCAATTGAATATGTAAATGTATACTTATAATTATATAGATAGTTTTGTGATATAATGCTGTTATTTATAGGACTGGTGCTGAACGAAGCTGCTTATTTTGTGCTGTCTCTATCATATCAGAAAAGTGTTTCTTTGAGAAAGAAATTAGTGTCCTGAATACCATTTGCCAACTGCGTTCAAGGAGGAAGTCAGCTTTTACTGACATTGTAAGTCATTAACTTACGAGCATTTTAACCAGATATCACTATAAGAATTTATTATACTTGTTAGTAATAAAGTAAGTAATAAATTAACTATCGTCATGAAATGCATGTGAATTAGCTATCCTTTGCAGTTTAGATAACTATTCTCTATTCTTGCTTCTTATTAAAGTTGTATTTGACGAGTTATTGAGTAATAGTTGTCTATTCATTTCACACTGCATCAATAATAACACAAGAACTCTTTACGAGTATACGCAACTTATCATCATTTTTAACTTGTCTAATATTTCAGATTATTTCATCTTATATAAATCCCCGCAAACATGTATTTACTTAATGTTCTTTATTTTATCGCAAATTTATCATTTAATAAAATTCGCCTAATTGTCAAATCAATTGCAAAACATTGCCTATGTCTACCAGGACAGACTGAAAGTTTTAAATTACATAAAATAGAACACAAAAATACGGTTATTGACAATTGATATCATGGAATTATTAAATTATTATTATTATTATTATTATTATTATTATTATTATTATTATTTAGGTCTAAATTATCAATTCACTTTATTTCAGGCACAATTCAGGTTTTGTTACCAACATGTAAAATATCTTGCTGAGATTTCCGACAAGAAGAAATACTATAATATGAACGAGCTGTTGTGAACAATGGTTGAAGAAATTCGTCTTTACGATCAATTAATTACTTGCCCATTGTCCATTTTTACACAAATTTGACACTTGTTTAAAGGCTGAAAATGCTAATAGCTTTATTTTTCGAAAGCATTTTTTGTGTCTTGTTGCAATCTCTGAAAAGACATACTACTAATTAGTCATGCATAAAGCTGAGACATATTGTTTTAGTGTTGTTTTCATAAACAAATTAGTTATAGTCTTTTGGTATTTTATATGAAATCAAAATGCAATATTGTTTACATTTTCCTTACCTTTATCTAAAAAAAATTTCACCTCTTCGAGCACCGTTTTCTTCAGGTGATACGCATCTTACATGTTCTTAATTCAATTTTACACCATAACAAGGGATACGTTTCCCTTTACTCCTAATAAGAACACTCATTGTTTAGTTTTTTTGAATTCTTGTTAGGACACGTGTATAAATATGATGAACATTTTCAATATCAATACTGTGATGTTTTGAAATATTGTTATAACGGTTTTCTAACTGGTTTTTGTTTAGTTATCTAAAGTCGCTTGTATTTTGTTATTTACGATGCATTTAGCGAACAGTATACATTTGTGTGCTTAATATAAACATTTTGATTTTATTTTACTATGTGCTGGTCATATTATTTTATTATTGAAAAACATGATACTTATTTTCTTATTGAATATTTAAAAGTATATAATTCAATAATATAATATAAGACTTCACATTTTATGCAAGTTAATTGTCATGTTCGGGATTTGACATGATATGCTTGGAAAGACTTACATATACTACAATGAATCTAGTAATGATACAAGAAACTGGCAAAAACAATAACTATTTTTGAATACTGCATCTTAATAAAGTATGAAATTAGTATATTAATAATGATAAACAAATTAAATTATGATTGAGATAAAATAATGATTTCCTTTAAAGAAAAATAAATATATGTGAACCAATATTTTGAAGAAATAGCTGCCTTTTACAAAAAATATTATCTAAGCAAAATATAATTATGTGTGCTTTCTAGTAGTGCTTTTCTGATATAGTATAGCTGATATAGCATAAATTACAAACTAAAGTCTTTTAAAGCATGTTTTTCTTAACAAGTAGCTCATATTGTGAAATATATATAAATGCTATCATAGCCTTTCTAACTGAGCTTTAAAGAGTATGCTTTTAGTTAATAAATTATGATAATCAAAACATAATAATAATCAAAACATACATTTGTACATAAATATCTTTATAGAAGATGTTTGTACACTTGAGCTTTTATAAACTGGATTCAAAAAGTTAATAATATTAATAAAAAAACTACATGTAATTAAGCCTGTCAAAAGTTTATACTATTCCACCGTTTATACAACATAGGTCTATTATCTGTCCAAGAGTTGTATATAATAACGTCTCTCCAATAACAGGTTTTTTTACATAAAAATGGTATATAGATTATAGTTTTTTTTTTCAACACAGATCTTCATCTTCCAATAGGTTATCATTGATATCCTTACCAATACAGGTTAATAAACTATAGATATTTTCAACATGTGTCTAGAAAATAACAGACAATTCAATTCAGATGTAGGACTGTAGCCCTTTTCTACTGTTTTTGTTATCCTTATAATTATTTTTATTAACGAGGAAATCTTTATATATAAGTTTATAAAACTAAAAGCTTTCTTCTGAGTGAGTACTTTGCAGATATAGTTCTATAGTGTCTAATCTCGAAACTAAATGGCTTATTTATTCGAACTCACATACATTGACATTTTTAAAATTTAAAATTTTTTTTATACATTCAACCAGTGGTGCTCATTATTAGTTTTAATTCGTTAATCCTTTACTTATATATAGTATACGGTTTTGCTTTTACTTTTACATATTATTGTTAACAACTGATGTCTGTTTTAATTGTTAGCTTTGTAATATTCAAACTTTATTAAATTTTAATGACATGTAAATCTGTGTTATTGTAAATTTTATCTTCATATATAATATAGTAATGAAAATTAAATCATTTATAATTACTTATTGAAGAAAGTCATATGCTAGTCGATGAAATAACATATTACCTTTCATGAACTAGAACACAATGCCCCCCTAAGACCAAATAGGCTCAGATTTGGTGTTACTATTGCAACAGTTCCTTGTGAGGATTTTTCACATTCATGCATGACGGAGTAAACACTGTTGTAGTAGTAAGACAACACACTTCCTACAAGGGGAAATAGTACATGTATATTATAATAATATCCGCGTGAAGCAATCATTATATTTGTTAATCGGTATTGCCATAAAAATGAAAGCGTTTTGCTGTTTTTTTGTTGTTGTTGTTTCTTTTTAATTCAGTGATTGCTTTAGAGGCATTGTCTAAAAAACTTAATATTGAGTAAACGTAAAGAACATTGCTTGCGTCTAAAGTTATATTACTTTTATAGAACCTGAACAGAAAAGCCATTTTTTTGTAAACCTATTTATACTTGAGGTTAAATTGGAAAAAGAGAGAAGATCAGTGAAAGCGAAGGATACTATAAACACTGCATACGTTCTTAGATTTACTAGATTCTATAGGAGGTTTAATAACAGTAAAAATGTTGCTCACCGTTTATTTAGGAAAATGTTCATAAAAGATCAAACCCCGCTAAATTTAAACGTATAGAATGGTTTAAATTATTAAACATTTTATATAAAGAAATAAAAATCTGAATATAATATGTCCCAGGTTCTCTAATAAAATATTTCAGTTACCTATTATAAAAGCTGCGCGAAATGTACTATCCTTTCATATGGTAAAATGTTAGTCATAATGATGACAATAATAACTAAGATTATCAGACGCAAAGAGTTAAAGTCACTTAGACAGTCAAAAATTTAAACAAAAAAAGTCATGTCTATTTTATATTATTTGATTTAGTGTGTGTGACAAGTTAATCTCATTTAGACAAAATGGTGAGCCTTTTCCTCAAATGACTCGAAGAACTTGACTTTAGAACTTGAAGAAAGCTTAATATCTGCGACACAAACTAAGACGAACATTTCGATAAGACTAACACAAGTTAAAGATTTGATTTGACTAGTATAAGACAAAGGGTCAGAATCTGAAAAACAAGATCAACAAGGAAGGGAGGCATTCAGTTAATGCATCCGCATAATTTTTTAAAGAAGCATATTATCCAGAAAGATAATCTTCTTTTGAAAGACATAGAAATAATTCATATAAGCAAATCAGCATAAAACGATCAAAATTTTGTGTATATCACTTCATTTATCTTGGGGTTCAAATGCTTTTATATCGTCTTATGTGTACAAAAGTACATTTACAATTTCAATTTAAAATTTAACGGTACAGATTAGTTCTTGAACTTATGTGATTTATAGAGGAAAAAGGTTTGTTAATTCGGTTCGCAATCGAAGCGCGTTATGTAACATGCATGTTTTTCTTTTTTTTCGATCAGATCGGCCTGTTAGCACACATTTTGAACATAAAACTACATGTATATTCCAATAGGTCTCATAACAGTATTCCGTTTATTATTCATTTCAATTGTGAAAGTATCTAAAAATCATTAAGAGCACATTTCAATAGTTTAAATCTAATTGCAACATCTTAATTTATCAATTTATGGCATGAATCTTTTATAATTTAATTGCCATAAGAAAGTTTTTATAAACAAATCTAGTCTTGCCTTCTTGTAATATGTCCATGTTTGCATGATTTATCGGATTAACAAAGTTGGCGGAGACATTAGCCAATCTACTGTATCATTACACTTAAATAACCTGCTAAATTGTGACTGGGTTAATCTTTTAGATGTAACGCGTAATTTATTAATGATTGATCGGAACAACGCTAGTTATCATAAAAATGTCGTTTAGTTTCTATTTGTACATATGTTTTAATTTTGTAGCGCAGATTGACGTTCCTTATCCGATCTTTGTTGTTCGACGTCCTTATCCGAAGTTCGACGGAAATGGCCGAGAAATTGAAAAACATTTTAAAACATGTATCTGCCAATAAAATTGTAAATTAAGTGTAGAAAATGAATCTGATCTGATTTATTGATTAAGAAATGGCTCGATTGATCCGACTGACCATACATATTTACTGAACATGTTAAAGTATTTCTAAACATATTCATTATTATAACAATTTCTGTTTTAATATAAATGCGCAACTCGAAATTTTGCAAATAAAATGTTCAATTCAGACATGAAAGAGGGTTATTCAAATTACTTTCAAAATGAGTTTATTTCCATATAATGACAAAAGAAAATCTTTTTGTTGAAAAGTGTAGTAATTGGTTCTTTAAAAATATAAGTATGAACCAAATACCGTCTCAATTTAACAAACTGGCGACCTGAACTTCATAACTTCACAATCGTAACATTTAAACAAATTCAACTTCATGAATACTTAAATTCAACTTGTGGAGTAGATTTGTCAAATGCGCGAATGTACTAAATTCTACTTATATAATAAATTCATGACGTTAAAATTCTTTATTTATTTACTTGAAAGTTATTTTTTGTAAAAATGCTCAAACTTGTTACTGTATTCGACCGTATTAATCCGTCTAAAAATAGCGGCGCCACATAGAGAGTCACTGATGCATACTGTATCCAATTCAAAACTTTATATTCAATGCACAATAATGTAGTAGGAAGTTTTGAACAAGTTTCATTTTGCAATGATTAAACAGATAGGTATGCTTTACCACCATTGTTGTTTAAATAATGTATAGTGATATTAGAAATGAAGATATCTTGCTTTGTGAAAAACGGATAGGATATTAGTATTGTAAGAACATTTTGACTCTTTATCATCTTAAAAATTTATAATTTCAATGTCTCACTATTTTCATTTAAGCTTAAAGTACCTTAATACTTTATGTTAGACATTCAAAATGTCTAAAACTGTTTTATTACAATGCATATCATAACTTGTAAGACTAATAATATACTATAAGTGCCATTTTAAGTTTAAGGCAAACGACACAACCAAAGAACGTAATTTGATAAAAACAGAATTGTGTAATTATGCATCAATCTTTATATTGGAAAGCATTTAAAATATGTTTGATCACACCAATATCAATATGTGTACAATTTATTTCTTTAGATTATATTGCATACATGGATACGGAACATGTATTCTAAGGAAATTTCAGCACTAGTATTAGTACTGTTTGTTGATATTGTATTTGCCGGTAAGTACTTCTATTTCATTGAATTTTAACTATGGAAAACTTTTTTCTATATTGTCTTAACTGTATAATTAAATATTGTAAATTTTTATCCATTGTCCTAATATTATTCATAATCGGTCGAAGAGAAAGATTAAATTTAAGTTCTTTTTTATTGTCACGTCAATTAAACTGGGTAAGGATATCAATGGTTTATCATATTGTATATAAGGTAAAAATATGTAAATAGTCAGCATTTATAAATGTTTACAGAATGTTCAGTTGGCTGCCAAACATGCTCTGGTTCAATTTGCACAAGTTGTAAATCATCTTACTTTTTATCAAATGGCTTCTGTTCATCATGTCCCGAAAATTGTGAAAGCTGTAATAGCTACGATGACTGTACTTTATGTAAGCCAAATAAGTATGGTTTACATGCAAGATGTGTTTTCAACTGTGATAGTAATTGTCTAAATAGTGAATGCGATGATAATACTGGAGATTGTACTCAGTGTAAGCTTGGTTTCTATGGATTTCAATGTCAACACAACTGTAGTTTATGTGAAAATGAACGATGTGATTTACGTTCCTGTTCGAGTGGTTGTAGAGCTGGATATTATAGGTTTAAGAGCGGTGCTGAAACAATATGTCAAAGATGTCCGTCAAATTGTAAACATTGTATCGATTTGAAAACATGTTATATTTGCAGTTATGGTTTCTACCTCTTTAAGTTTAATGACAATGTTCAATGTGTGTCCTGTTTGCAAGACACACAATGTCCGGAATGTGCAATTCAAGATTGTAACCAGTGTCAAATACACAATAATTCGTTAGTCTGCGCTGATTGTCCAGAAGGACAAATATTCAACGGTAAAACATGCGAATCACACACCATTGTGCTCAAAGGAATGTTCTACGTATTGTGATAGTAGTGGAATATGTCAAGGAGAATGTAATGACGGCTGGACTGGTGAGAAATGTTCCGAAACATGTAATAGTAAATGTTCAAAGTGCTCAAAAGATAACGGAAATAATTGTCTACTGTGTGTTGGTAATTTTTACACGACCGATTGCAATTTAGCCTGCAACCCATCATGCATAGTAAAAAGTGGTCATCATACATGTGAACATGCAGAGGGATATTGCTTAAACGGATGCAACCAAACCTATTGGGGCGACCTCTGTGATAAACCCTGTTATGATGGATGTAAAGATCTTAAATGTGATAGAAACAATGGTACATGTACGGATGGATGTAAGGATGGACTGACCGGAAACGGATGTTCTAAAACAACCACAATCGCTATACAAGGTGCATATGATTGCTGTTTAGAATTCATTTTAAATAAATCAATAAAATTTATAAGTGAGGCATTTTGATTAAATCATATTCATAATTAACACAAATATTAAATAATCTGCTTCCAGAATAAAAGAGGATTTTCCGAGTGTCCCTCTTTTTGGCCCGTTTTAGAGTTATTTCTTTGAAAAAACACACTAAAAAATACTGCTTTTTGGGCAAAATAGGACAAAAACAGAAAAATTTTAGCAATATATTTTTATTTTTCAACAATTTTTGTTCATACGTCTGAACAAAAAATAAGAATAGTGTAAAAAATAACAAATATATTAGCAGTTTCAAACTTGTTCATACGTATGAACAAATTTTTTTCTCAACTTGTCAAGATTTTGTTCATACGTATGAACACTGAATAAGTTCAGCATTATTGAGTATTTTTTAACAAAATTTTGTTCATACGTATGAACAAAATTACCTCACATACTGAAAAATAGCACATAAACAGACGCTTCAATGTTGAACAATTTTGTTTTCAACTTGTAAGGTTTTTGTTCATACGTATGAACACTGCATCACAATCTTTTGTGGTCATTTTGAAACAAATTTGTTCATACGTCTGAACAAAAACTGACACAGAGCAAAAAAACCCACTTTGATTTTGTTCATACGTATGAACAAAACTATTTTTCTTTTTAAATTGGCAGGTTTTTGTTCATACGTATGAACACTGCATCACAATCTTTTGTGGTCATTTTGAAACAAATTTGTTCATACGTCTGAACAAAAACTGACACAGAGCAAAAAAACCCACTTCGATTTTGTTCATACGTATGAACAAAACTATTTTTCTTTTTAAATTGGCAGGTTTTTGTTCATACGTATGAACACTGGCATAATTTTTGTGGTTATTTTGAAACAAATTTGTTCATACGTCTGAACAAAAACTGACACGGAGCAAAAAATAGCCACTTCGATTTTGTTCATACGTATGAACAAAACTATTTTTCTTTTTAAATTGGCAGGTTTTTGTTCATACGTATGAACACTGGCATAATTTTGTGGTTATTTTGAAACAAATTTGTTCATACGTCTGAACAAAACTAACCCACACAGCGAAAATAGCACATTAAAGTAATTAGCATTTCAATTTTGTTCATACGTATGAACACTGCATTATTTTAGTAATTTTGAGGTTATTTTGAAACAAATTTTGTTCATACGTCTGAACAAAACCAACTCGCACAGTAAAAAAGAAAGAACAAAATAAGCCGCTTCAAATTTGTTCATACGTATGAACAAAATTTCTTTTTCAACTTGTGAGGGTTTTTTCTTACATATGATAATGAACACTGCATAATTTCATAATTTTATGGTTATTTTGAAACAAATTTTGTTCATACGTCTGAACAAAATAAACTCACAGATGAAAAATAAACAACAAAAAATTAGCCGTTCTGATTTTGTTCATACGTATGAACAAAATTTCTTTTTAAACTTGTGAGGGTTTTTTCATACAGTCATTATTTGAAAACGTATTTTTGTTCATACGTCTGAACAATTGTTTTGTTCAGACGTATGAACAAAAATATGTTTTCAAAGTAACCACAAAATTATGAAATTATGCAGTGTTTATTATCATAGTAAAAAATAACACATAAATTAGCAACAGCTTCAATTTTGTTCATACGTATGAACAAAACAAATTCACAGAGTGAAAATAGCACATAAATAAGCCGCTTCGATTTTGTTCATACGTATGAACAAAACAAACTCACAGAGTGAAAAATAGCATATAAATAAACTGCTTCGATTTTGTTCATACGTATGAACAAAATAAACTCACAGAGCAGGGCTTCCATTAAGTTTCAAAATTTGGAAGTCAGAGACTGCAAAATCTCTGATTTTGGAAGTCACATTATATAGGTAAAGAAGGAAAAGTATTAGATTTTGGAAGTCACAAGCCAAAATCAAGGAGTAAATGACTCCCAAACTTCCATTAACGGAAGCCCTGTCACAGAGTGAAAAATAGCATATAAATAAACTGCTTCGATTTTGTTCATACGTATGAACAAATTTAACTAACAGAGCGAAAATGGCAGATAAATTAGCACTTCATTTTTGTTCATATGTATGAACACAAAAACCAAACTTTTACACTAAATGGCAGGTTTTGGTTCAAACGTATGACCACTGCATTATTTCAGAGCAAAAAATAGCACAAAAATCAGCCGATTTTGTTCATATGTATAAACAAAAATATCTTTCTTTAAATTGGCAGGTTTTTGTTCACATGTATGAACACTGTATCACTTAAGCTATTATGTTTGTTATTTTGAAGCAAATTTGTTCATTCGTCTGAACAAAAAAGAAACTCAAAGAGTGAAAAACAGCAAATAAATAAGCCGCTTTGATTTCATTCATACATTTATATCAACAAACAACCCTTTGACAATAACAGTTCAGATTTGATTTAAAACAATGACAAATAAGAACATGTTTGAAAACACAAATTTTATGCCCTCACCCAGCTAGGTTATTTATCAGTAACAGCATTTCAAAAAACGTTTACCCATTCACTCAGTTATTCACAGAAAATTTGCAAAAAAAATTGTAAAGTTACATAACTTGACATGGAGTCATGGCGTATTGTACTTGTGAAGAATATAAGTTGGTAAGTCATTGTTATAAATTGTGATGAAGTTCAGAAATATCAACTTTATCAAATATATATAAATGCAGGACTTTACCTTGAACCCAGTGACCCCAAACTCCATTCAAAGAACCACATAATGAAACTATGTTCCATAAATATTCATAAATATGAGACATTGGAAAAAATATACTGTAATGCTGTATAAACAAGAGCTGTCACGCAAGTGACATATCCCACAAAAAAGGGTTCTTAAGCATGCAGGTATTATGAAAAGAAAACAGAATGAAAATAACTTTGTTTGTTTGATTGGGTTTTACGTCACACTGACACAGTATAGGTAATATGATTACGTTTCAACTTTACTGGTGGAGGAGCCCGTTTGTGCCTGAAATAATGCACTGAACCACCGACCTTCCGTAACTTACGCTAAGCTAGCTGGATTAGCTTCCTCACATGAAAGAATCCAATGTCCCTGTTGGGATTCAAACCCACAGCGGTCAGGGGCAAGTGGTTTGAAGTCAACGACCTTAACCACTCGACCACGGACGCCCCCATGAAAATAACTAATTGCTTAACATTGTTCTTGTGAAATGAAGTACTTTTTATAGCAAACTTAACACCTTGGGACAAGGGTCTTGGATGCACACATCACCTTTATGTGATAGACATTTATGCAAAGTTATTTTAAAATCCTCTAATGCATGACAACTTTACAGTTTGAAAACTAATGCGTACCTTCAAACTCTTCTTATGACCTTAAGTACCTTCAAACTATTATAGTGACCTTCACCTTGGAGGTAGGAACATGGGTCTTACACACAACACATCATCTAGATGTGGTTGACATTTGTGCTAAGTTATTTTAAAATCCTTCATTGCACGACAAAGTTACAAAGTATATTCCGGACAAGAATGTGTGTACCTATCTCTAGTTGTGATAGTGTGAACCTTCAAAATAAAAGTGTGAACTTGACCTTTGAAAAGGGACATGGTTCATGAATGTGACACATCCTCTTGATGTAGTACAAATTTGTGCCAGGTCATTTCAAAGTCCCTCAATGTATCACAATGTAAATAAAAGAAGTATTAAGGAGAAATTTAAGATATATCCAACTTGCCTGAAAAGGTTAACCATACATTGCCCTATATTCAAAGTGATAAAAAGGGAAATAACTGTGAAAAAATGGATGGCACAGTAATATTACTTAGCAATATCAATGCACTTTGTCCCGAGAAGTACATGTGAAAATTATGAAGCCATTAGTATAGACAGAACTTAAGATATATCCAATTTGACGGTTTTGGTTAATCTTTTCATTTTCAAAGTGCTCAAAAGGGCAATAACTTGGTAAAAATGGAAGCCATAGTTATTTAACTTGCCCCTGGAGATTGTATTCTTTGAACTGATTAGTGAATGTGTGAATTATGAAGCCATTGGTGCAGGTAGAACTCAAGAAAAAAAACTTGCTGTTTTAGGTTATCCTTATACAAACAGACAGACGGACAGTTCAATTACTATATGCCCGGAGGCATAAAAAATTATTGAGCGTGTGATAATATTAATAATGTGGTATACATTCCTTGTATGCATAAAAATAGATAAAACCTCATTATTTTATGAAAACCAAATTCACAAGTTGGTATTTGCTTATTAAATTATTTCTTAAATAAAGCTTTTCCATTTTTCAAGTATATTTTTCTCATATATCAAAGCCACTTCTGTATCTTCATTATTTAGACATGATTTCTGTCCAGCAAACTTTATCTGTAATATGAATCCCAGCAAGGCTTCATAATTGCCGTTTGGGATAATTCCAGCAAATTTAGTTGATATTGCACTTTAACATTTTCTCTCACAAACAGACTAAATCAAGTGGATTCTGCAAGTTTTAGATATTGTTGTTCTTTCATTGCTATTTTGATATCTGACTCCCTTTCTAGATTTGTTTTCTTTTCATGGCATGTTTCATGAACTAGTAAATTATTGAGTTGCTCACACATTTCAGTTAGCTTAGATTTTCACACAGACATGGCTCTCTTTCATTGGCTGGTAGAAATAATATGTTTCTAGAACACATACACAGCTATATATAATGAATACATCAAAATGTTACTGGAAATGGGTTTACAAGTCCATCCACTTAAGATCCTAAATATTCTTTAGAAAGGCTAAATTCTGAAGCTTCATTACAGTATAGATGTTGACTTGAGTAGTCAGTTGAACACACGAAACACATTAACCCTCAAACTTTTTTTCTGTATTGTCATTATATAATCATTCATGTAACACTGCCATGTCTTCCTGTTTCATGTAAGCTTCCACCACGCAATAAGGCAGGCCTTTCCCCAGGCTCTTTTAGTGCTGCGCTCCTGCTCTGCCTTGGTCTCCAAATCAATAAAAGGTCCTACAAAATACAAATAAAAACATTCTTAATGAGATAACAAATAACAGTACATCATATACACTTCAAAAATTTCCTTTTAAAATTCTAAACGCTTTTCTTTTTTTAACAGGTGAATTTAAAAGTAATTTTGTAAATTTCATGTATATTCAAAAGTAAAATAAACTTAGTATTTTAATTTCTGGTATTAAAACTATAATTTTTTTGTAATAATATACAAAAAATGCAACATAAAGGTATATGATTAATTATGATCTTCCTTAAAAGTTTTTTATACAATTCTTTTTGAAAGTTTATATATATCTATATATCTGTCAAGCACATAAACATCATATAGAATACAAAATGATTTGAATTATGAATATGATTTTGATAATGATGACGATTTTAAATTATAATTTTGATGATGGAAGTGATGATAATGATGATGAAAATGATGATTTATGAAAGCAATGATTATTGTTAGTACTCCTATTATAATGATGAAAGAGTTGATAATTTAGATCTTAATGGTAATAGAGGCGATAGTGAATTTTCTAATGATGACCACATTCAGTAAACATGCGCGGTTCAACTAGTATACTGGTAAACCATGTCTGAGACATCTGCAGTATGTACCGCGGTACAGACCTGAAAACCATTTTTTTTTAGCTCTAATTTAATGCAATTACAGATCCGTAAAATGTACAAAATGAAATCTTTTCTGTTGTCTATATCAATATTTCTTTGAATTAACCTTTTTGCAAACAACTTTCGCTGACTTTTATCATTCCACGATAGTTCTCAGCAAAAATTGAATGCTTTATCAATAACCACATGTAAGCCAGAATTGTCGACTTGCATGATCTCAGTGGAAGAAGCAGGAATTGTCGACTTTACTTTTAGTGTTTGAAATCATTTTTTTGCACTTTTTCTTAATGAGATCTATTATCCTATGAAGTTTGAAGTCCATAACTTTTATACATTAGGAGAAATGGCCCGGACCAAACTAAAGTATGAAAATAAACAAAGGGCAATAACTCAAAAAATAAGAAGTGCAGAGCACCGCTTCTTATGCACTGTTCTTCTTGTAAATGAGATCTATCATCCTATGAAGTTTCAAGTCCATAGCTTTTATACATTAGGAGAAATGGCCCGGACAAAAATAAAGTATGAAAATTAACAAAGGGCAATAACTCAAAATTAAGAAGAGTACCGGTTCGTGTGCACTGCACTTCGGATCATTATAAGAAGCATGCATACCAAGTTTGAAGTCAATCCGACTTATAATGACTGACTTATGCTCCGGACAAGTTTAAGGGGACGCTGACACCGCCGACAAAAGTAACCCCTATATGTACACAAAAATAGCTTTCTGATGTACAACATTTCAATGAGCTTTAAGGAATAAAAATAAACGTTTAACTGAAGTGATAGTGCCATGTTTGAGTATGATACTCTTTTTATCAATATCTTATTTTATTTACCTAATAAATAACGTGCCAATGAGCCCGCGTGACTTTAGTCGACCGTTCTAAAACTTAACGGTTGAGAGAGGCAACGACTGAGGCACTCATTTGCTCAACATTTTGACCCAAGTTTGAATAAACTTGGTAGACACCCATTAGAAGATGTTACATGCATAATATCTTAGCTCTAGTTCTTTGGGGTTTTTAAAAGAAGATTTTTAAGATTTTACTAAATATACATAAAGGGAAAAACAATGATCCCCTAACCCAGGGCTTTTATATGAACAAACTTGGTAGACATCCACTAGAAGATGTTTCATGCTTAATATCTAAGCTCTAGCTATTTTTGTTTTTTATAAGAAGATTTTTAAGTTTTTTTTTCTATATAATACAAATAAGGAAAATAAATGACCCCCCCCCCCCCCCGGCGGGGCCAATTTTCACCCCAGGGCATTTATTTGAACAAACTTGGTAGACACTGACTAGATCTGACATGATTCATGCCAAATATTTAAGCTCTAGCTCATTCGGTTTCCTAAAAGAAGATATATTTTAAGTTTTTTCTTTTAGTTGCCATGGCAACCAGAGTTCTGCTTAAAATTAAATTATTTGAACAATTTTTAAAGTTGACTACGAAAGGAACATTCCTGTGAAGTTTGGATGAAATTGGCTTAGCGGTTTATGAGGAGATGTCGTTTAAAGTAAAAGTTTACAGACGGACGCCGGACAAAAAGCGATCACAAAAGCTCACCATGTCACTTTGTGACAGGTGAGCTAAAAACAAGAACTGATCATGACCCAATTAACCTTTTACCCCATGAGCATATTGCCAAAAATGGCCATTTTCATTGAAAAGCCTCCTGTAACAAGTTCAAACTGCTATGAAACTGTAAAAAATGCTTCAATACTAATGAAACTTGGCACAAATGTTGACTACACCATAGCCTCTGTAACAGCATGCTCAATGGTAAATTTCCTGTTACCATGGCAATGGGAGGACGTCTCAAAATTGCCAAAAATCACTATTTTGCATTGTTTTTTTCCATCAAAACTGATTTCAAAGTGCTGCAACTTCTCAATGAATTGAGATAGAGTAAAAGGCTTTTCAGCGTCGGTTACTAGTTACCCTAAGATCGACCTGAGGCCATTTTTAGCCTGTCACATGTCCAAAATTTTCTTGGAGATGAGGGGGACTCTGCCCCCTTCAAACCCCCCAAACAGAAGGGGGCACATCCCCCTTCTGGCAACCCCCTGATGTAATATTTGGATGGGGGACGGCGCCGAAAAAGTGGTCACTTTTTTTAACAACATTTCTCAAACGAAAAACAGTGTTTGGGGCCTAAATAGGGCATTTTTTCACTGTTTGATGTCTCAAAAAAAGGGGGGGGGGCAAAAAGCCGTCGAAACACGCTTATATAAGGGAAAAGGTTAATTTATGATTGTCAACATGCGCAGCTTATTTGATGTCGAAAGTACCTGATTGAAAAAAAGTTAAATGATACTTTGATTAATCTGTATTTTATAGATCTGCTTAATTTTGATATTTGAAATTCTATACCAGCTTTAACCTTGATACTTATTTTAGAGATAAAAAATAAACCTATAGCTTACAATGAAAATCCGTGGTATACCATGGCTTATACCGTGTTTTTAAGGGAAAAAACTTGGTATACCGTGGTATTTTCTTTCTGGCAGTACCCAACTCTATACCATTATAAGTACTTCTGACCACAAATGATTATGACGATTTTTCCTATTTTGAGTCTGAATATATAAGTGATGATTATAATTAATAGGGTGATGACATTTTGATGATAGTGGCTGTGATGATGATGATGTTTCTGGTGTTGATAGACTGATGATGATTTAGGTGATCATCATTTTAATAATGATGATGTGATTATGATTATTATTGCCTTTCCTGGAAGGCGATATATAGAATTAACTAGATGTGAACAAGGACTTCTATGTGACACCACCTGCCTTTAGCCAATCAAAGCAAATAATTTAATATCAGTATTATATCACTTCATAACAAAGTTTTAACTATGCCACTGTTTTAACTCAAACTTAAAAGCGATGAATGGTTTATTTGCCATAATAAAAAATTGGGTATTAAAATTTCAAAATGATTAATTTTCAATCAGTAAACAATAACATATTTAGAATAAGATATGCATGTTAGATATTAATTAATGAGTTTATTCAAAACATTAATCTTTTTTATTTATTTTTATAATTATACTGAAAATGCAATTAACAATTTTGGTTGACATTAAACTCAAATTCTTCTCAGGTCTGCACTAATAATATACATGTATTTCTTTTCAATTTAGACTTCTACTTTAATTGTGTGAATGGCTGAATTAAGAACAAGACAACAGTGAAAATACGAAAATATGTTTCACTGCAATGCACAGAGCAATAATTAAATTCTACTGTGAAAATTCAGAAAATAAAAATACACATTATATTTTATCAATATTTCATTTATAAGTAGAAAAAATAGTTAATTTCAAGTTGTCTATATGCATAAATAAAATAATGAAATAAATAATGCATGTACTACAGTATTTATAAATTATAATTTTTATTTTAATATTTATAACTAAGGATATCAGCAGAGCAGACTGGAAGACAAATTGTTGAAAATTTACTAATTTTAAACTCTTAATCAGAATACACAGCATATTAGAAAAAATTATATAAAGGTCAAACAAGATTGCATTTGAGAAAAATGCTATGCCACCGCATGGTTCAAATTTCATAGCTGTACATCAAAGGACAAGAAAGTAGGTCACATCATCAAAATCTAGGTCAAAGTTCAATTTTACAACTAAAACTGTGCACATGGTCAAAATGTCATTGCTGTACATCAAAGGACAAGAAAGTAGGTCACTGTCCCCTTGGGCAAGGCATAATTTTGACCCAAGGGTTTAATAACAATCTTGATACAGGTCCATCAAACAACATTTCAAGTCAAATATCTAAGCTATAGCTTTCTCCCATTCAGAAAACATTTGTTTTATTTTCTGTTTTTACTACGTGTACATAATGAGAATCACTGCCCCCGGGCAGGGCCAATTTTTGACATTTGAAAAACTTTGGTAGAGGACCTATAGATGATATTATATATCAAACATCAAAGCTCTATGCCTTGAACCTTCAGACAAATTTTTTTTTTTTTCACTATATGTACATAATGAAAATCAATGACCCCCTGGGCGGAACCAATTTTGACCCCAGGGCTAAAATTTGAACAATCTTGCTAGAGGTTCACTACATAATGTTTCATGCAAAATATCTTAACTCTATCCTTTGTCAATTTAGAGAAGATGATTCTTTAAGTTTTAACTATATACATATAAGATAAACCTATGGCTCCCAGGGGCGGGGCTTATTTTGACACAAGAGGCAAAATTTGAACATCTTTGGTAGAGTACCTTTCATATGATGATATTATTTAACAAATATTAAAGCTAGATCTAAGCCTTGTACCTTCAGACAATAAGATTTTTTTATTTTTCACTATATGTATATATTGAAATCAATGACCCCCAGGGCGGGGGTAATTTTGACCCCAGGGCTATAATTTGAACAATCTTGCTAGAGGTTTACAACACAATGTTTCATGCAGAATATCTAACCTCTAGCATTTGTCAATTGCTAGAAGAATTTTTTTAAAGTTTTTACTATATACATATAAGGAAAACCAATGACCCCTGGGACGGGGTTGATTTTGACCCCAGGGCTATAATTTGAACAATCTGGGTAGAGGTCTACCAGACAATGCCTTATGCAAAATATCTAAGCTCTAGGCCTTTTGGGTCTTTACAAGAAGGTGTTTTTAGTTTTTACTATATGTACATATAGCGAAAATCAATGACCCCGGGGCGGGGCCGATTTTGACCCAAGGGCTATAATTTGAACAATCTTGGTAAGGGTCTACCAGATGATGCCTTATGCAAAATATCTAAGCTCTAGGCCTTTTGGGTTTTTACAAGACGGTATTTTAAGTTTTTACTATATGTACATAGTGAAAATCAATGACCCCCGGGGCGGGGCCAATTTTGACCCCAGGGCTATAATTTGAACAATCTTGTTAGAGGTCTACCAGACAATGCCTTATGCAAAATATCTAAGCTCTAGGCCTTTTGGGTCTTTACAAGAAGATTTTTTAAATTTATTCTTATAATTCCTTTTGGTTGCCATGGCAACCAGATTTCTGCATGGAATGAAATTCTTTGAACAACTTTGGAAGCCCTTCACCCAAGGAACAATCCTGCCAAGTTTGGTTGAAATTGGACAAGTGGTTTTTCACAAGAAGATTTTTTAAGTTCACTATATAATCTATATAACACACACACACACACAAACAAACACACACACACACACACACACACAGGTGAATCGCTATATGCCACCGCATCGCAGATGCTGCGGTGGCATAAAAAGAGAAGAAAAGTATAATAGAAAAAGTCTTTTCTATAATCTACTATTTATTTACATTTTATTTTCTTGTGATATCATATATGAAAACTATTTTACTGAATCACTTGTTGCTCGACCCTATTACTCATGTAATATTTATTTTCATATGAAAATAAAACTAGATTGTTGCAGGGCTTTTCAGCATATAACCAACAGAGTATTGAAAAACTTTAATTTATAGGAAAAAAATGAATTTCCTCCATGATCTAATATATAATACTGGATTATTCTCTTCATGATTAATATCAATAAAATGTAAATGATTTATGTGAATAAATCTCAAATTATATACTGTATACATAGATCTACTTTAATTAGTATTCCCCCCCCCCCTCCAAAATTATTAACTGATTAAATTTTAGAAATTTTTGGACTTTCATGCAGTAAAATGTATTGTTCAATTTTAAAGTTCCTGCAGTTGGACAAAAATACTCGGGCAGTTTCCAGATAAGCTCAGTGTTTATATGTAATAAATAAGACTTCAAACAAAAAAAAATCAACAGTTATAAATCTAAGTCGATTACCTCTACTTCTTCAGCTTGGATGTTGTTGAACATGTCCTCATAATTCTTCTCCAAATGTCAGTTTATGGCGAAATATTAACCTGGAAGTTTGCATGCCTGTGCCACTGTGCTAATTAGCAGAATAAAAACGGCGCGCGACGTGTTAATTGAAACTGGCCCAATTCATTCTGCTTTGATATGAGGGGTGTTACCTTAGAGCGGCCTTGGACTGCAATAATATTTCCTTATCATCTCCGGTGAGAAAATTTAAACTTTAAAGACACTTTTTGCAAATCATCTTTTTATCAAACTATATTTTAAGAAAAAAGAGAATAACATTTGCAATTTTAAACCATCGGCATGAGACCCGATGTACCCGTGTATTACAATGGAACAGTCGACTCTACAATTTAACATCAGCAAGTCATTACACGGATTGGTGAAGCGCTGTGTACACATGACCTAACACACGATGAATGACATAAGCTGCTGTTTTATTGGTAAGTTTTTTTGTTGTTATTTTATTCCATCATTATTATATCGCAATGTAAAATGATATAAATGGTTCGTTGTAAATAAAGTTCCATTATAATTATGAAACGTATTGTTTACCGCAATGAACTGATAAATTGACTTTCGTGCGATCAGTGTTGAAGCTACTCAACACTATGCTGTTGTTGTATTTGTTTTGTTTTCTTCAAAACTATACAGACGATTTTTGATGCAGACGATTTTTGTGTTATAAAAAATAAGAGTAGGCCTACAGTACTGATGAAATAAAAACCTGTCTACGGAAAGTTAGGTACCAGTAGGCTACTTGCCAAGCATGATTTCACCATGTTTTCAATGTTATACAGTTTCTTTACTTTTCATTAAAGGAACTCCACTGAGGTTTGTAAGGCTAAAAATATAAAATTTTATTTTTCATACAGATCAACATGAGCACTTAAAACAGAAATATAAATAAAATATTACTAGGAAATATACAAGAAATGCATTAAAAATTGTATGTTTGTGCTACTCACAGTCCGATTTGAGTGAAAAGCGTTTAAACGTTTTTCAATTTTGGGTCAATTTTCACTATTATATTATAATAATTATTCTGGAAAAAATGGAGCGAGCTAATGTTCTAAAATTTTGCACATTAGTTATTTGTATAGATCTTTATTAAATGGAGTAATAATCTCAAAAAATTATTTCCAGTCCCGCCATGTCAAAAAACCTCAGTGGAGTCCCTTTAATTTATTGAAATATTGGCAAAATGTTAAGTCCTTTTCTCACTTAATAATCTATATTCAAAATTTCACAGCAGTTTTTTGGTCCTTTTTATTTTGAATATAATTCAGTACCAGATGATTTAATCTTCCCAACATTTTGTGTCGTCTGCAAATAATGATATTGTTAAAAAATATTCATTTATTTTTTATTTATATGTTAAAATTCAATGTAAAACTTTCTCACAAATCTATTTCATACAACATACAAGACAATTGGACATACAAAAACAGTTCATAAAATTGCACGAGATACCATAATTGAATTGTTTTGACATTACGGAACCATCTGATACAATACAACAGCAGATGATAAACAGACGCTACAAAGACAAACAACAAATGACAACAAAAAATGTTTGAAAACTCTGCATATAATTAAGTGCTTTTTGTGTCTCCTGCTACAGAGTAGATCACTTCTCTGTTGTCAGTCAAATTATTAAAATCCACCTTGTTTTGTTGTAACTTGCTATATATTAATGATAACTCTGTTATTATTGAATAAAACAACTTTATATTTAAGAAGTGAATTTTGCTACAGTTGGAACTGTGTTATTTATACATGAATATGATTCATTCTTGGGAAAAACCAGTATGTTGAATCATTCAAATATTTATGGCCTTGACTATTTGACCTTGACCATCAAGGTCAGACTGACATTTGCTTCAGTTGTCATAACTTTGTTATTTATTTATATACATGTATTTGATTCATTCTTGGAAAAAAAGAATACTTATGACAAAACTGACATGATGATTAATTCAACTGTGCCCTTGGCATTTAAATGACATTGACTGTGAAGGTCAAACATGAAATTTGAGAGGTTTTTTTTTTACAAGAAAATTGTGTTTTATAAGAGTACTTTTTACTATAATATTCTTCCTCTGATGTGTTTGACTGAAGAAATAATAGAAAAAGCTAGGCAATGGGTCTTGTTAGTTATAATTTTGATTGTATATAATAATTGTAATTTCAGAGGAAGTAGCCAGTTCAAAGAGAATGAAAAGGAAGTCTTTGGAGCACTGAAAATAGTTTGCTTTTGCTTTTTGTGGAGAAAAGTGTATGAGGAAACTGAATGTATGCCAATCATTGTTGAAACTCACAGTACACAAACAAATCTATTTCAAGAGGAAAGTTTATCTGGAAAGTGTATTTTATTTACATGAAATTATTTATGTACATGTGCCAGTATGCTGGGAGGTCTTTCTCCAAATTTTATCAGACAACAAAACTCATTAACATTTCATTTTGCTCTTAAGTTAGTTGAAAATGACAATGAGACTGTTTGTGCACTGTTTGAAGGTGTCCGAAGAAAAAGAAAGAAAATTCACTGATAGAAAGATTATGCCACATCTTATGGTGACAGATTCTGCATACAATAGATACAATAGAGAAAATGTCCAGGATGATCAAAAAAGTTTTCGTAAACACTGCAGAATGCAAAATAGTCAACATACAAGGCTAGGAAGATGTCAGCATAAGAAAGTTGTAGGATTGTAGGAAAGATAAGCAAGTAACAGAGATTTGGAAAAACTATTCTATCACCTTAAAATTAAACAGGTAAGGTGATATTTAATTGTTTGCCATGAATGTATCACATAATGTGTTGTTGATCTATATAGTTTTAGTTCCACTTTTCGAAACCAAAAGTTATTTTTAGCTCGACTATTCAATAAGAATAAGTAGTCGAGCTATTGTAGTCACCCAAGCGTCGGTGTCGGGGTAACCGCTTATGTTAAAGTTTTTGGTATACCTCAAATATTTTCAAAGTCCATTGACATATGGCTTTGAAACTTTGCACACTTGTTCACCATCATGACCCCAACCTGTAGACAGGAGGAGGTAACTGTATCAAGCTTTCTGACAGAATTATGCCCCTTTTTCAACTTAGAATTTACATTAAAGTTTTTGTAATACCTCAAATATTTTCAAAGTCCATTGACATATGGCTTTGAAACTTTGCTCACTTGTTCACCATCATGACCCCAACCTGTAGACAGGAGGAGGTAACTCTATGAAGCATTTTGACAGAATCATGCCTCTTTTTCAACTTAGAATTTACATTCAAGTTTGCATACCACCTCAAATATTTTCATATTCTATTGACATCTGGCTTTGAAACAAGTTGAAATTTTATACTCTTCTTTGAGAGCATAATAGGATTCACTCCAAGCCCTATAACTGTAACATGGATTTAAAGAAAAAAAAAATCTTTTTTGTAAACTTAGAAAATTTTTACATTATCAAAGCACTTTTACTATCAAGCACTAAGAATATCTTGTTTCATTTGTGTGTCGCCTCTACGGAGTAGTGGCGACATATAGGGATCACTTCTCCGTCGTCTGTCTGTCCGTCCGTCTGTCTGTCTGTCTGTCTGTCCATCCGTCCGTCACAAAACTTGTCCGGACTACTCCTCATAAACTACTGGTGCAATTTCATCCAAACTTTGCAGGAATGATCAGTACCAAGTCTAGTTGTGCATATTGTCAGCATTTTCCGGTTCAATGATTTTTGTCAGAGTTATGGCCCTTTAATAATTTTTCATTTAAAAGTTTGTCCGGACTACTTCTCTTATACCACTAATGCAATTTCAATGAAACTTTACAGGATTGATCTGTAGCTCAAGTCCTTGCGCATATTGCAAGGGTTTTCCGGTTGAATGATTTTTGGCCGAGTTATGGCCCTTTGATAAAAAGGTTTCTTTTTCTGTGTGTTGTCAGATACACAAAAGCTTGTCCGGACTACTCCTCATAAACTACAGGTGCAATTTCATCCAAACTTTACAGGAATGATCAGTACCAAGTCTTGTTGTGCATATTGTCAGCATTTTCCGGTTCAATGATTTTTGTTTGAGTTATGGCCCTTTAATAATTTTTATTTTTAAAGTTTGTCCGGACTACTTCTCTTATACCACAAATGCAATTTCAATGAAAATTTACAGGATTGATCTGAAGCTCAAGTCCTTGCGAATATTGCACGGGTTTTCCGGTTGAATGATTTTTGGCTGAGTTATGGCCCTTTGATAAAAAGGTGTTTTTTTTTCTGTGTGTTGCCAGATACGCAAAAGCTTGTCCGGACTACTCCTCATAAACTACTAGTGAAATTTTATCCAAACTTTACAGGAATGATCAGTACCAAGTCTAGTTGTGCACTGTCCGTCTGTCTGTCACAAAATTTGTCCCAACATGAAATTGGCCATCATGAGGCGACACATGTGATTACTGATCGCTCTTGTCTGAAAATGACACAGTGGAAAAAAGCCCTCCCCTATGAACATTGTTTTTCATGCATATTGTTTTATAATTGGATATTTTATAAATGATATTTTTTTTAACAACTATAATGCCTACAATGGTAAAAATGTTTGAAATTTTGTATTGAAAACACTTTACATATGATTTTAATTCTAATTTCATTACATTAAGACAATAATGTAAAAAACATTTTTACCATAGTAGGCATTATTGTGGTAAAAAAAAATTCTGTGATGAAAAAAACTGTAACATCCGTCCCCCTCTCATAAAATATCCAATTATAAAACAACACTCATAAAAAACAATGTTTCTGGTGCTTAATGATAGCCTTACAATGAAAATGTTACAAAAAATGCCAATTTCTATGTTTATGAGAAAAAAAATACAATAATGTAAAAGTTGTTTGTAACATCCGTCCCCGTAACATCCGTCCCCCTATATAAGGTGCTTATTAAATCTCACATAAACTGTAACTGAAAAGGGAATTTCACACTAAAACACCAAAGTTACAATGAAAAATGAAGAAATAACACTAAAATGATGTATTTATAAAAAAATATTATTTGTGAACACTAAATTCCTTAATTTGAAAAAAAAGTAATTTTTGCTCAGAAAACAAAATTATTTACTTTGAAATAAAATCTATATGTTATTTTTTAACATCAAGTGGACCTTTGAGTTTATTAAGATACTATTTAAGCTTATATGAATTTATAACAAATATAATCTTTTGTTATTCTGTGTTTTCAAACTAAGGGTACAGAAGGGGACGGATGTTACAGAATTGAACTAAAAAAATTTTTTTACAGTTATATGAAACTTATCTTGTTCTTATGATGCATGATAGAGAAGTAGTAAGCTGTAACTCTATAGGAATGTTTCACACAACAAATAAAATACTATTTAAAAAAAAACTAGACGAAACAAACACAAAATCCATAACAGTATAATATATAGAAAGATGTGCAAACGATAAAGATGTTGAAAGTATCTTTGTGATTAAAATTGGTCAATTGTTAAAACAAATTCATAAGCCTTAAATAGTAAACAAATCATCTATCCCAGCCCCTCATAAAACAGTGGGATAATGGATCCTAACTATATACACACAGAAGGGGCTGGCACTTTATTGGAAGTTAACGAGCTGTATATTGGGAGCTGTATATTGTATATTGGGAAGTGTGATATATTACAAAACAGTAGGGGTGCCAATTAAGGGAGATATATATTATGCTTAAAAACAGTGGGAGGGACTACCATTATCTGTTTCAAGAATGTCATTAAGTATTAAAGTTGTAGATCAATTGAGTCAAAGGATTTATTGAACTTACAAATTTTATTGGCTAGGATAGGATATGGTAAGGATTCCTGTAATGAAAGAGTTGGGATAATTATGAAAAATATTCTTTAAATAAACCCTTCGCAAATTATTTTGCACCTATACATTTTATTGGATGACAAATTAGTTCATTAAATTAAAGATCCTGTAACACATTTTTTTCATGGTTTTATTTCATAAATATGATGCTCAAATTAAGATTTGTCAATCTTGTAAGTTCAAATAAGCATTATTTATAAAGATATTACCCAATTTAACATTTTACGTAAATAAAGGGAGGTAATTAGAAATTTATTTTCTATAAATTCCAAGTCAAATTTTCGAATAAGAAATGAATGCATGTAACTTATTGATTAAATATAATGTGCACAAATATTTGCAGTATACATTTTACATATTCTTGGATGTTTGAAAATTGTTTTTTTTGCATAATTATATACATATATAATATTTTGCAAGTGTGTGATACATACAGTAACAATATCAATCACAAAACATACAGGATCTTTAAGCAGTTCATGTACACTGAAATATTTACACAGAGAATTATTAAAAGATTATGATACTGAATCATAATGAAATCTTTGGATAATGCTGCTAACATTCCTCATTAATTTACTTAAAATTTCATCAAAAATCTATAGAACTTAATTGCAACAATTTAAAATCTTATAATTTATAATGAAAATTTTTAAAATTGTGTATAATTTATGTATTTAGTTATGAGAAATTCAAGCTTTGCATATGTTT